GATATTTTTTTTAAATTTTTTGCATAGAAAGCGAATCAAAGGCTCTAACTTATCAATGGCTATACAGTCAAATCTAGTCAGCAAGGTGACTCTCCAAACACAGTTTTTTCACCATAGGTTCATTTTTTTAAGGCAATAGAATAGGTTCATTTTTTTAAGGCAATTTCAATAGAATAGTTCTTTAATATAACAGAGGATAAAAAAGAAATTAATTTTAGAAAAACCCAGTAAAACCCGCTTTAGGGCGGGTTTTACTGGGTTTTTCAGAGTTTGTTTTACCCAGTAGAAACCGGTAGGTTTTACTGCGTAGGTAGGTTTTTTGCAACCCAGTTTCATAGTGGTCCAAGGGGTATTTAGTGGCCTCAGATCAGTGGAACAGCAATGATTTCGATCGATGGCATAACTGATATCAAATATCGATATGAAATAGTGTAACTGTTAAGGATAACAGTACATCTTTAATAAGAAAATATCCCGAAGATTATTGATCTCTATAATTACCGAATAGAATAACATGAAGATCATTATCAATGACATACCAAAACTATAATCACACGTAAATTACTATATGTAATGAAAGACAGGGCAAATGTTGTGACATTAAATAATAATTAGTTATACACTTGCATTGAAATAAATGGTTAGCCATTACAATCAGGGTTGGAGTTTTTGCCGGCAAAAAGGGTTTTTTGCCAGGACAGAGGCAAAAACCAAGTTATCNCCAATCAATAATGCTTTAAACTACTAAAATGATATATTATTACATTATCATTTTATTATGGAATAATAATTTTGTTAATTTTTTGGTAATTATTTATATTCATAGTATATATTTCAATTTTAGGAATAATTTTGTATCAAAAATGTGTTTTTGTCCTCTCATCTTGGAAAATAGGTTTTTGCCAATTTGCCTGGCAAAAACCTGTTTTTGTCAGGACGGTTTTTACCGGTATTTACCATGGTTTTTTCCACCTGCAGCAAAATCTTGCCAACCCTGATTACATTTATTGAGAATAGAAATATCTACAATCGTTGTTTATAATATAATTTCAATTAAAAAATTTATAAACTGATTTACTTATATAAAAAAAGATGAGGAAATAAGGAAAATTTAAAAGCTAGGAAATATGTAACTCACTTTCCACTGAAAAAAATTTATCAAAATGTGCAATATTATCTTATAACTGAATTTAATCCTCAAATTTTTTTAAATTAACCTCTTACGTAATTTTATGTGTATACTTCTCAATAATTTTCTCTCTTTAAAATCATTAAAAATTTACTAATACTCCCCCCCCCCCAAAAAANAAAAAATTTATCAAAATGTGCAATATTATCTTATAACTGAATTTAATCCTCAAAATTTTTTAAATTAACCTCTTACGTCATTTTATGTGCATATTTCTCAATAATTTTCTCTCTTTAAAATCATTAAAAATTTATCAATACTCCTCCCCCCCCCAAAAAAAAGAGAGATACTTATAAAAATTTAACGAGTTGAGAATAATCCGAATAAAGTAAATATTACTAATAGTATTTAGAATTAAACCTATAAACACAGATTTCTCCAGTGAGCAATTATTATATAAAGTAGGAATTAATTCTTTTCAAAATGGAATTTGAATAAAAAAGCAGTGTTTGTAAGGGATGGTGGCTTGCTTTCACAAAAAGGGCAAAGAAGGCGCAGAAAACTCAAAAATTATTAAAGAACCGTGATGGCTCAGGGGATGGCGTTCACCTTCCAATGTGGTTAACCGGGTCCAAATTCTAGCCATGCCTGTTCAATACAAATTCTGCAGCTGGTTTGCACTAACCACAGTGCTGACATACAATATCCTCAGTGGTAGACGGATCATGGGTTAGGGTCCCTTTGCCCTCAGGCTAATTGTAGGAGGTTTTCATGGTTTTCCTCTCCACTATAATGCAAATGTTGGTTAGTTCCATGAAAAAAGTCTTCAATGAAGGCAAATGTCTCCCGATACTTGATCCAGGAGTTCTCTTGTCTTCAGGATTGGGATCAAAATTACAAGGCTACAACGTTGAACATTAGCAGTCGTAAACCCCAAAAAATTGGGTCGGCTGTTCAATGAAAATTATAATTACATATATACGTGTTATTTGATAATGGAAATATTAAACAATCTAATAATAATACAAATTAATTTAGAAAAATATAGCAATATATCGTTAAGTACAATTATGTATGCTGTTCAATGATGGTCATATAAAAAAAAATCAACATTGTGAATATTTATAAATATTATTTGATAGTGGAAATATTAACCAATCTAAGAACAATAAAAATTAATTAAAAAAATATTGCAATATATTGTTAAGTATAATTATATATGCTGTGCCACGGCGGTTATGAAAAAAAAATCAACATTATGGTGAGTATTGATAAATATCATTTGATAATGGAAATATTAACCAATCTTAACAATAATACAAATTAATTTAGAAAAATAAAGCAATATATTGCTAAGTACAATTATATATGCTGTTCAATGACAATTATGAAAAAAAAAATCAACATTATTGAGAGTATTGATAAGATAAATACTAATTGATAATGGAAATATTAAGCAATCTAATAATAATACAATTAAAATCTGGCACTCATTGGTCATAGGAACCAATGTTTTTGTTGAGAACTAGAAAAAGCAGACGCCTTTATAACTGATAACATGTTAAGAGCAATCTAAGCTTTAATGAAATTTATATTAAGCAAAATGTAATCTTTGAATATGACATTAAAATCAAAATAAATATATCAAAAATGACAATATCATGATCAATATCGATAACTATAATTATCAAATAGACAAATATGGTGATCATTGTTTATAGCATATCAATATTGTTTACTAAGCAATATTTATTGAATGCAAAATAACTGCTGCTTTAATTCACTTAGGTAGCAAAAATATGAACCGATGGGAGGTATTTCTGTATCATAATCTGTCGCGCCAACTACAATCAGCAAAGTGCTAAATAGATTTAAAATTGCACATTTAAAAATGAAAACACATAGATGTTTGTGCCCAGTGGTGGCAAAGGGTTATACCTTCCAAGTTAAACTCTCTTTCTGTCATGCTTTTTTTTTTTTTAGTTTTTTGCGGGCTGCTACCCAGAAGTTGTCAAGACTTGATTATTCTGCCACAGATCACGATAAGTAAATCTTCTCAATCAATGTACTAACAATATAAATGAGTCTGAAAAATATCATGATATATTGTTAAATGCCTATATTTTTTGACATTACATATTACAATGTCATAAGCTGTCAAAGAGAAGGTGACAAAAAGGCAACCACCAACACACAGTCGCTATAATTGATCAGATAAATAGTAATATATTCACTAAATTTTATTCAATATTTAAATACACGAATAAGAGAGACAACATGTGTATGCAAGTAGTTTTGCATGCATGGCTCAAAGACATATTAGATTACGTCGCACTAAAGCTGCACAATGGGCTATGGGCGACGGTCATCTACATTTACAAAGTCACAAAATTCCCTATCATCAAGCTTCATGAGTCTGGTCAATCTGTTCCAATCATTTTCGGTGTAGTTTTCAGCAGAATTAACGACATTGATTTGATTGTTTGACTACTTTTGTGATCTTTAATGAATCCAGACTTCTTGAAGCCATTCATTATCGTAGAGGAAGACACATCATTCCATGCCTTGTCAGCCATTCTTAAAATTTTTTATTTTTTTGAGAATATTTTTTTTTAATTTTAGAAAAAAAATATACCCTATTTATGGAGAAAAAAATTCAAGCTATCGAGGAATTAGAAAAAAAAATTCGTGAAATCAAGTTTTTTTTAACATTGAGTGTATAGGAAATTTGAATGGAATTTTTTTTTTCTTCGAGTTATTGAGAAATTCGTGTAATCAAGATTCGAGTTAGCGAGGTTCGACTGTATATATACACACACAGAGGTCTGTTTAGAAGAAATTTGGGTCCGCTAACATCTATCCATAAAAAAGAACCCTTCACAAAATAATTTATCATTTAATCGAACCCTTCACATATTTGTTTATCTTCATTATTGTTTTGTTAATCAAATAAACCCTTCCCAGGAAAAAAAAAATAAAAGAAAGACGTTTTGAAATGAACTAAGTTTTCCAAGTTTCCCTAAGTTTAAATTCGAAATATAGTATTCTGAGAAAATATTTCTACTTTAACAAACACCATGTGCACATTCTTCCTGATATTCAATGATAATTTTAATTTTTTTTAAATAAATAAATGAACAATTTATATTTATTAATAAAATTAATTAATAGAATATTATGTAAATGTAAATAAATTTCTGGCATTTTTTTAAATAAAATATTATATTATTTAATACGTAACACATTAAAAGTGATATATAACTAAGTTATGTTACTTAAAATATGTCAATTGAAATTATTAAAAATGTGAGAGATTTTGTTCCCATAATTTGTCCGAAATGAATATTCTGCGTTGAGCAGTATAGGCTTAATACCAAATAATTGTATGTTGCATCTTTAATTTAATAGCAGCAATTCTTGAGCATAATCTTGTATCTATTTACAATTTAAAAACTTCTTGAAAAGGTTTTAGCAATAACAGGATCCTATTTGCACAAATTAACAAAAGGAGGACCCTGGTAGAAAGAATGTGACTTAACGATTAATTTATATCCACAAATTATGAGTAGTATTTTCACAATTTTACAAAAACAGGACCATTCACAAAATGTCTGGGCAGACCCCTGATACTATACGATACTCAAGTTATAGCTCGAGAGATGCGTGAGTAAGTAGTACAGCATGTGGATGAGATTTGCATGNAACATGCATTAAAACTCTGCCACTGCCTTTCTATGATGTTTTTTAGTAGTTTCCAATGCTTGGAAGTCGACAAAACTTGGTAATCATTTCGACACACAGAAAAATTCCCAAATAAATTAACAAATATATATATTCTTAAATAATAACAATTAATTCAAATCATACTTACAGAGGAGGACATGTCAATCTGGCCTCGAAGTATCAGTTTGAATATTTGCGCATCATGCTCTGCATCAAATGGAAAAACACCACAAAGTACAATATAAGTTATGACTCCCACAGCCCAGATATCAACAGCACTTGTGTACGGCTTCCGTGCCACAATTTCTGGTGCAATATACTGAGGAGTTCCACAAACAGTATGCATGTAGGGATTTCCAGTCGCCCTACGCGTACTAGCGAAACTAAAATCCGTAATCATGATTTTAGATTCTTTACCGGGATGATAATACAACAAATTATCAGGTTTGAGATCTCTATGAGTGATCCCTAGACCATGTAAATACTTAACCCCACTAAGAACCATCCTCAAAACTTCACGAGAATCTTCTTCAGCTAGGTAACCTCTGGCTTCTAAGCGGTCTAATAGACTGCCACCAGTCGCTAACTCCATCACCATATACACCTTGTGGTCAGATTCGAACACTTCTATTAATTTAATGACATTCGAATGATTCAAACGCCTGAGGACGGATAATTCAGCTTCGAATGCTTCTCGACCACCGGGAGCTTCAATAATTTTTAAGGCATAAGGCTGTTTTGTTTGCCTATGTTCTACTCGCAGGACACGGCTGAAACTGCCTTTGCCTATGACAGCTTTTATGTCATATTTTGCAGTAATTTTAGAGTCATAAGTTGGTTTCGGAGCTTTCTCAGTTCTTATTCTAGGGGATTTTTTACAAACGTCGCCTTTTTTTCTAGGACAAGAGTCGTGTCTATGCCTGCGATTTCGAGTACTTTTTGGCATTGTTTTGCCGTCTTTTATAGACTTGGTGTCCTTTATAGCTTTGAGTTGAAGTACAGTCTGAATCTTCATGTCCTTTGCTCCAATTAAATTGGGATCGTTGAATTTTCGGCTGTCAAGTTTGCCAACTGAACAGCCCATAATTTCAAAATATTGAAGATGTTTATAAAACTAAACATATCACCTACTAAAAGCATTTATTTTTGGCAAGGAGATATATACACATTTTAATAAAAATTATATGAACCAGGATTTAAACAGCTCAAAACCAACGATTATTTTAAATATTTGAGTTCTATCGAAGAACAGTTAATACACAGGCACCATGCTCTCTACTGGGTAACATTGTTTACTTAAAGGCGATAGTTTACTCATCGCCAAGGAGTCGAAAAATGAACTCTTAGCATGCGGTTGCCAACTGTTGTTGACTGAAAGGAGGAGAAATTTTCGCCAAGGTAAAAATAATTCCCCATAATAGGGAAAATGGTTTTCAAGTTCAGATCTGATCGTAAATAGAATGCTGGCGAAATAGGCGAATTTCTTGCGTGTCGTTGTTTAAATTTCTTTTAACTAAACAATGTAGCTTTATTGTTCGTTTTTAAGAATTAGAAATTTTAGACATTTCAAGACAAATATTAATTAAAAATATTTATTTGAGTGAAGTTTTACTATCTGATTTAATTTTGCGTATTAAAATTTTGTAATAAATATTTCGCAGAAAAAAAGGGGATTTCAAACAAAGAAGAATAAACTGATGTGTGTTTTTGGTGAAGTGGTTCATAATTCTTATTTAATTCGAATAAAGTCGTTTGGGTGTCCGGGAACAAAGGGGCAGTTTAAATATTACGGGAGGAGGGGTTTTGCGGTTTTTCTTTTTTTTGCAGACAAGGGGAGGGAGGGATATGCACAATACTTACGTAAGACATTAAAATCCTTCTAATTTAAATTTTTTTCTAAAAAGGCTAAGTAAAAATTACAAAAAAATTTATACTAAAACTTTCAAATTTAAAAATAATAGTTGAATTTGAGGGAAAAAAATATTTTTTCGAAAAGTTTTGAACACACAAGATTCCTATTACTCACTTTTATAAAATGAATTAAAACGTGATTTTCGTATGCTGGCCACCAGCTCTTTGACTGCCAAGATGCAATGTTACATTTTTATTTGAAATCAGTCTTTACTGTATAACCAGAAGTTAAGCAAAAACCAGGGGGGGGGGGTAAGACTTACTTGCGTAAGCTTGGCAGGTGTGCAGAGTGGGTAGTTATCGTCCATGTCAACAGTCATCCATGAAAAGGTACCCCAACATAGAATCGAGTTAACATGCCTTATATACCAGTGAATTTGAATAGTATTTCTGTAGTGGTAGATACACTACAGTGCACCCCCACCAGAATTTTTATCTGTGATAGAATTCGACGAACGGATACCACTAGTTGAAGCATTGCTGCTTTTGTGAGAAGCCGGGAGAGCTGTATTAAGATTACCGTATTTTTTGCTGATCGTGAGAGCTGTATTAAGTTCACGGTAGTAGTCACTCATGTGTTGCTTTTAGAAGTCGAGAGTGTATGCAGGCCGACGTTGTGTGTGATCGAGACCAAGTAGCAACAGCGCGAGGTGGTGGATAATGTCGCAGTCAACTGTTCGATGCGGACAATCCATCGATGTAGGCGTGTTCCAATCGAAGTGGGAGTTTCTGTCAAGGTAGACATATTCACATCACGTCCGGGTCACCAATTTGGGGAGTGAATAGTTATCGACCATGTCAACCGTCATGTATGAAAAGGTGTTCTGCAAAATGTTTGGAACCATGGGGCCCTTAAAATTAGTCTCTCTCTAAATATGGAAGAAGGAAAAATATCACTCCAGTGGTCACTCCTGTGTTGCCTTTAGAAGTCGAGTGTATGCAGGCCGACGTTGTGTGTGATCGAGACCAAGTAGCAACAGCGCGAGGAGGTGGATAATGTCGTAGTCAACTGTTCAATGCGGACAATCCATCGAAGCGGGCGTGTTCCAATCGAAGTGGGAGTTTCTGTCAAGGTAGACATATTCACATCACGTCCGGGTCACCAATTTGGGGAGTGAATAGTTATCGACCATGTCAACCGTCATGTATGAAAAGGTGTTCTGCAACATGTTTGGAACCATGGGGCCCTTAAAATTAGTCTCTCTCTAAATATGGAAGAAGGAAAAATATTTCTACAAAGAATAAATCAACTTCGCGATGAAGAATTATGAAAAATAAACACATTTAATATTGCCCGCATAATGTGCATTCAATTCGAATGTAACAAACTTTTGATTGTATAAATCGCGACAACACCTGAAAAATGTCTAAAACTAACCCAGAAAGCATGTAACCTTACGGCAACCTTGTGTCGGAATTTTCTTTGACGTCACCCTAGCGATAGTGTGACGTCACACTAGCGATAAGATCAAATTGCATTGTTCATTAAAATTTCATGATAAGGTGGATTTTAGCTGAGCATACAAGACTTTGCGAAAAGAAACCTTATAATTACCTAGATTATTTTCACCTTGAGACTAGCATGGTTGAAGGATTCTTTTACACTTGAAAAACCTAAGTCAACCTCGATTTAAGGTTTTTATACCGAAGGTGGTTTTCCAAGGTTTTGGATTAGGGTAATGTGCGTAGAATAGAGTAGGCTGGGGGCATCGATATTCCTTTGGTTCGACAGGTTTATTCTCTTTTTCCTAGACTTTTAGTTGTATTGGCAATAATTGTAGTGTATCTACCACTACAAAAGTACTATACCAATTCACTAGTATATATAAGACATGTTACCTTTTCATAAACGAAAGCTGACATGGATAACTACTTTCCTCACATTGGTGATCCTACTTCGATGTGACTCTTTCCACATTGGTGACCCGGACGTGATGTTAACCCGCCTACCTTGACAGAAACTCCCATTTCGATTCGCACACGCCTATTTCGAAGGATGATCCCCATTAAACAGTTGATTCGCTACTTGTGACTGCTACATAATCAGCCTCCTCGCTCTGTTGCTACTCAGTCTCTATCACACAGCGTCGGTCTGTATACTCTGGACTGCTAATGGCAACACAGGAGCGACCATGGCCATGAATTTAATGCAGTTCTCACGATCAACACTCAAAAGTATGGTGATCTTAATACATCTCTCCCGGTTTCTCACAAAGCAGCAATGAATCATGTAGTGTTATTCCCGATCATTGAAATCTATCACGGACAAAATTCTGGTGGGGGAGTACTGTAGTGTATCTACACTACAAAAATACTATACCAATTCACTAGTATATATATATGACATGTTAACTCGATTCTATGTTGGGGCACCTTTTCATGAATGAAGTTTAACATGGTTGATAACTACTTTTCCCAGATTAGTGACCCTACTTCGATGTGACTCTCTCCACAATAATTAAGACTCTGAGCACCAAGTAATTGCATTTGAGTTGGAAACAGTTTTTAAGCTGTTTTCGTTTAAATTTTTAGAAATGTGTTTCGTAAATTATGGCAACATCTCAAATTAATGAAATAAGTTGTACTAAATCAACTGATTTCAAATTGCCTATGTAGTGAAAATTATTTACATAACTGCTAATATCTGATAACAATATATGCATTTCAGTATTTTTTGCTGATTCGATCATTTTCATATGTGCTATTTTTAAAAAAAAATTGTTTTCACGTATCAGTTCTTAAAAGTTGAAATGTGCCCTTCAGTGGCAAATTTATGACAACCATTTTTGTTTCAGGGAATTTAAATATTGTTTGAATAAAAACAAAAAGCGCCAGGAAATGTTTTGGGTTATATATAATAGTTCAAAGCAACTGTTTCGACAGTAATAAACTATTTTCCTAACATACATTTTATTGAATCTCAAAGCCACTATATGTATTGCACATAGTTTTATTTTCAAAAAATTTTTCCTTTATAAATTATGGTTCTTTTATTTAGACTTAATGGTTAAAATGTATAAATTTTTAAATTTAATGTTATTTTTTATATGAAAAAGAAGTTTTCTAATGATAACATTTCTGAACCTTTTCAATCTGAAACGATTCCTCTACACATCTTACTTTACAAAGTGATGAAACTTTTTTTTAAAACAAACACAGAAAAATATTTTTCCTTTACGCCTTAAAATACATTTTATTACAACCATTCTCTTTTTCTTTAAGAGATAATTTAAAACTCAGTTCTTTCAAAAATTGGTGATCTTTTAAGCAGGGTGCGTAACCTCTCAACAAAAAATAAGCACCTTTAAAGTACTTTTTAAGCACTCAAAAATATTTTTTCAGCACTATATACATTAACAAAATGCAAATTAATTTTCAAAGACTTTACATAATTATGATAAAATAACTAGTTTCTGACAAAGAACTCTTTTTTTTGATTACACCAGCTATTAAATAATGATCGAGATAGTTTTTGGTTCGATTTCAGAGGGTGGAAAATGAAGCCTGAAATTGAGAATATCTTTCAAAATGCAGAGTTGCACATGAGAGTGCAATAATCTCACCGAACCCAGTTCAGTACACGCACATGCGGACTCGCAAGTATTTCATCAAACATGCAAAATGATTGGCACTTTTATACACTACAGACGGACCGCATGCCGAAATGGATTGTGAAAACGCTGAATAGAACAATGTGAAAACCACACTTTTGCATAATACGTAGCGAAAATCGACATAGTAAAGAAAAAAATTTTCATTTTAAGTTTCTGACGAAGAACTTATTCCTTGATTATATTAGCCACCACAAAAAGATAGAGATTCTTCTGTTTGATATCAGAGGGTAGAAAATGAAGCCAGAAATTGAGAGTATCTTGCAAAATCCAGCAGAGTTGCACATATGAGAGCAAGAACACCGAACTCAACACAGTAGTCAATCCCAAGTATTTCATCAAACATGTAATATGATTGGCGCAATCATACGTTATGGACCGACGGTACGCCGAAATGGATTTTGGCTGAATGAATCGAGAAAACGTTGAATAGAACAATGTGAAAACTCGCCTTTTGCATAATATGCAGCAAAAATCAGACACGGTAAAGAAGAAAAAAAAATCTCATTATCAAAAAGAGAAAACTAAGCACTTTTTAAAAACATCTTTAACAGGGTTGCCACTCAAATCAGGAAAAAAAATTTCCCTGTATATATTATACACAATATATTAAGATGAAACAACAATTACTGTGCTCTTGTGTGAGCTATATTGGGCTAACTATATTTATTGGTCTTAATTGTTGGAAAAACAGTTGTACTTAAATAATGCTATAGTAAATGAAATAATTTAGTATAGCTCAAATATCATGGTTAAATATATCCCATAGATTACACTTTGAGTGGTCACCATTTTTTAAAAGACTAAATAAGAAACAAAATTCCCTGCATTTTCCCAGTTTGTAAAGAAAAAATCCAATTCCCTGTATTTTCCCCGTTATAGGTGATTTTTAAATTCCCTGTATTTTCCAGGTTTTTCCTGTGGAGTGGCAACCCTGTTTAAGAGCTGTTAAAAAACGAAAATAAAAAATAAGCACCTTAAAGCACTTTCTAAAACGCTATGCACCATGTTTTACGCTACGCAATATGGCCCATTTATATCAGGAAAATCAATTTGCAAGTTTTAATCAAATGTTTATAAAATTTAATGGACAACTAGCGTTTGTGAATTAAAAGTCTGAATACCGCATATATTATCAGTTTATTAATTGAAGCAGCCAGATACACTTTTGGATACAGGTAAAAATACATGGTTATCACAGGAATCAAAATATATAGGTTATGGAAATATTTAGAATTTAAGAGAAATTAAGGAAGAAAAAGGGAGCACACTCAAAAAATGTTCAAAACAGATATTTTAAATCCTAAATTGAAGACAAAAACCTAGGTATTCTTATAAAATAAAAGACAAAATGTAATTTAAAAAATAAAAGTAACATATATTTATTCGGTTAACTAAATTATTTTGAAAATATTTTGTTTGTAAATTGTTATCAATATTAAGAGAAGTTTAGAAAATATAACTATATTTAGCAATTTGTAAAAATATGTTTAAAAGTAAAAAAAAAAAAAACATGTTGAAATATTCATAAAACGGGAGAAAAAGGAAAAGTGCAAAATAAAATAAAAACATGTTTTGATGTTATATAGATTTCAATTTTATAATTATGCAAAGAAAACAAAAAACTTTCCTAAAATTATACTACATTAAATTTTTCAAATAAATTTTTCCTAGTTCAACAAAAATCCTCATCCTAAAATAAAATACAAATTCTAATGCAAAAACATACCTATATCTAAACAATTAATATTAAAATAATTGCACAAAGTTCTAGAACAAAAAGAAGAGAGTTCACAAGGTATTGGATAAATGCACAGCTTTGATATTAAAGCTGAATTATCAAGTAACAACTTTAAAGAACTTAAGAAAAAATTTCTATGACAATTGTAACTTACGAATTTATAAGGAGTAGATTTAGTTCTTTAATTTATAGAAAAACATAGTACTACATATTTCTGAATATAAGCCCACCCATCCATAAATTGAAGAAAAAAGCTTTTTATTTAGAAATTCACTCAAAATTCAAAACTTATATATGAGCCAACGAAGAAAAAAGAAAGAAAGAAAAGAGGCGTACTTGGATTGGCACCCCCTCGCTTGTAAAGTAAAAAAAGCGTGAACCGATTGAATTTGTAATTAGGAGGTTAAATAAATAATAGCATTCTTTTCAAATTGTTCTTTCTATGTGTTTCTCTTTTAGTTTTTATAACTAGGCATTCTGTTCTAAACTATAATTTTATGTTTTTTTTTATATTTTGTAAATACGTTTTGAGATATTTACTGATTATTGCCAATGCTCAACAAAAGGAGAAGTATTTCAATTGGCAATGCCTTCTTAGAATTTTTTAAAGTTAGTGGATTCGATTACAAGCCAGCGGCCCGACTTCAGCTATCGAAAATTTTCAGAAAATTATCAGCTTTTATTCAGAAATATATGATAATTACGTAATTCCTTATTTGTCTTACTAAAAATAAATGTGTCATTATCACTCGTTAAATTAGAACTGATGAGCGATAATAATACATCACATCAAATAGAACCAAGTCCTACAATTAAAGCAGTTATGGCCCTTTAGTGAACAAAAAAAAAAATAATTTACAATTGCAACTTATAATGGATTGAGTTAGTACTTTAATTTCTACAAATAAAGTAATCATGAAATTCCTCATGTGTGTTACTAAAAATAAATATGTGTCATCATCACTCATTAGATTAGAATTGATGAGCAATAATGATACATCACATCAAATAGAATCAAGTCCTACAATGAAAGCACTTCAGTGTCAAACATAAAATATATAATTGACAATTGTAACTTATAATGAATTGAGTTAGTTCAATTTATAGAAAGAAAGTAATCACATAAAATTCCTTATATGTGTTACAGATAATAAATATGTGTCATCATCACTTGTTAGATTAGAATTGATGAGCTATAATGATACAGAATCAAGTCTTACAATAAAAGTACTTCAGTGTCAAACATAAAATATATAATTGACAATTGTAACTTATAATGGATTGAGTTAGTTCTTTAATTTCTAGGAAGAAAGTATTCATGAAATTCCTAATATGTGATACTAAAAATAAATATGAGTTATTATCATTCGTTAGATTAGAACTGATGAACAATAATGATACATCACATCAAATAGAATAAAGTCCAACAATGAAAGCACTTCAGTGTCAAACATAAAATAGATAATTAACAGTTGTCACTTATAATGGATTGAGTTAGTTCTTTAATTTCAAGAAAGAAAGTAATAATGAAATTCCTTTTATGTGTTACTAAAAATAAATATGTGTCATTATCACTCGTTAGATTAGAATTGATGAGCGATAATGATACATCAGATAAGTCCTACAATGAAAGCATTTCCATATTATATATAAAATATTCATCCATTTGACATGGGGCGTAGCTAAATATGTTGAGCGGGATTTCTCATCAGGAAAATAATTTATAATGGTATATGTACACAAAACAAATTAATTTACAAAAATATTTACAGAATGTAAAATGAACTCAGGAAATGATACAGAGGTCTCGAGAGTAGCCTTGGTCTGGTGCACACTTCAGCAAATGGTTCATGACGGCACGTGCAAGGTAACTGGCAGTGATGGTCGTGGGGGAATCGAAGAATAAGGTCATGTCACCTTCTCTGTCTATTCCATTATCCTTCTGATACATCAAAAATGATTCTTCAACCAGCTGAAAGAGTTCCACAATTTTGTATAGAAAATGCCACAACAATAAAATGTCTTGAACTTTGTCTCGTCTTTTGAAGTTTTTTTTATAAATATTTTATAACCGTCATTGAACAGCCAATCCAATTTTTTGGGTTTATGACTACTATTATTCAACTACGTTGCCTTGTAATTTTGAACCCTATCCAGAAGACAAGGGAGCTCCTGGATCAAGTATTGGGAGAAATTTGCCTTCATGAGGAATTTTTGATGGCACTAAACCGCAAACGCATTACATGGGAAGGAAAACCACAAAAACCTCCCACAGTTAGCCTGACAGTAAGGGGACTCTAAATCACGATCCGTCAAACAATGAGGATATTTAACGTCAGCACTGTGGTCGGTGTAAGCCAGATACGGAATTCTTATCGACCAGCCATCGAACCTGGCTCATCTCTTTGGAAGGGGAACGCTCTATCACCTGATCCATCACGACTCTGTTTTGAAGTTTGTAGTTCTAGCAGTTGGGTATTGGTTGGGCAAGGTCATTTGGAGATTTAAATTCTAGTTCAATTACAAAATTCATAATTTCAAATGCACAAAGATGACGATTGAAGAAGTTAGTATATTTACCTTAACTTATTTAATTTATACTTGGTAGTTTTTCTTTTAAATTTTATCAGCGTTTAAAATTATCACAGCAAGATTATTTAGGATCCTTTTATGTCTGATTTGTTTAAAATGGGATGCATAACCTATGGCCTGTGGGTTAAAAGTGGCCTCAGATGCAACTTCAGCTGTATGCAACAGTAAGTTGCTGATTTAATGCAACCTTTTATCAGAGTATCAAATTGTGCAAATAAAGCTAAAAAAAGGAAACTGTTCTATAGCTTATACTTTTCATAATAAATAGAAAGTGAATTTAAGTTTTTAAAAACTGCTTCCTTATACAAGATGTAGAAAAACAGGTAATTAGGAAAAAACTGTACACAAACCTCCTAGCAGAATCACAGCGACATTGTTTCAGAACGTTACAGAGTTCTTGCAGAAAGATTTCTCTTTAGAAAAGCATTGAAACGTACAGTTGAGTATTTACTTTTTAAGGCAATGATTCTGTCGATTTTTTTGCTGTTATTGCTATTGATTTCACCATAGTATTTAAATCTGATATTTTTTTTACACTATATAACTTTTTACAACAACCTAATCTCGAAAAAAAAAAAAAAAAAAAAAACAGGCATTCGAGTAACCCCTTTATGAAGGAGTTTGATTAGCGTGATTTCGTTGTCGAACTTTTCTTCAGCAATTCTACTACAGAGTTCATGATTTTTAATTATTTTTTTTTACTGTGATGATTATTTATAAAATGCGAAAAATGAAATAATTAGTATGTTCCCTCTCCCAACAAAATGGGAGAATATCAGCCATAATACTAAAATAAAAAATTATTTCATGTTTAATTAAAAAAATCATATACAGTGAAACCTTCTGTTATGGACACTCCTGCAAGACGGACACCTCTCAATACGGACATATTTTTAATTCCCCGGGAATCTTCTATGAATAAACCATTATGTACATTCTCCGCAAAGCGGACACTCCTGTAACTGGACAGGGACAGTCATTTTGATCCTGAAACGTTGCTTTCTATCTCTACAGATCGGACATTTCTAAATTTGAAAAAGGAACTATTTTTGCTTTAAAATGCAAGCTAAAAAATGCAACTTTTCACCATTTTTAAAGCATGTAAATAAAATTTTTTGCCTTATCCATAACTAAAAATATTGTTAAGCTATTTCGCCACCGGAAAATCAATCTTTCTCCGGTCACCTTGCCATATCTTTGTAAAGAAAGGAGAGAAAATGGTACACTCCTGAAATAATTTTGACATCGGCATCTTTTGATCTTTTCATCTGGACCACACAGGTTATGAGACCCCTCTAGTTGAAATGACATCTCTCAATGCTTCTTCCCCATTGAAAATTTCATTAATTTTCTTATCAATCCGAAGATTGTATTTAACACGACTGGGGTTAAAAAAAAATAGAACAGAAGTATAATCTTTGAGGTGTTTAAATAAATGAAACATTTANTCACAATTTCACGAAAAACGGACCTTTCACAAAATGTCTGGACAGACCCCTGATGTAACTAAAATTTTTTGCCTTATCCATAACTAAAAATATTGTTAGGCTATTTCACCACTGAAAAATCAATCCTGTCACCTTGCCTCATCTTTGTAAAGAAAGGAGAGAAAATGGTACTGCACTCCTGAAGTGATTCTGACATCGGCATCTTTTGATCTTTTCATCTGGACCACACAGGTTATGAGACCCCTCAAGTTGAAATGACATCTCTCAATGCTTCTTCCCCATTGAAAATTTCTTTAATTTTCTTATCAATTTGAAGGCTGCATTTAACACAACTGGGGTAAAAAAAAAAGAGAACCAAAGTATAATCTTTGAGGTGTTTAGATAAATGAAACATTTATTCAGACACTTGATAGCTGACCAGTCGTGAATAATCAATTCCATAGGTCCTTATGACTTACAGGTATGCATTACCTTTTTTTCTGTGAATCAATGGAGGTTTTTTTTTCAAGAAGGTATTAACCAGATTCCCTATCAAATGATAAGTAGGTGTAAGGGGAGTAAACCTAATACATAATTGAAACGGACTGAGGACAGAAAGCTCCTATTCCGTATCATATGTCTAACTTGAGTATCTGTGCTAATAGAAAAATTATATTTATTTATCTGTAGCTACATCCATAATTATGTATTTATATCAAACTTCTTTATATATTCTTTTTTATCTTTCTTATAGTTAAAATAAATATTCTTGTAAATATTTATAGTATCCTTGTAGATATTATTTAATTATTTCTACTTCCTTGAAAATATTCTAAAAACAAGGTAATAAATTTCGTTATTAGGGTACACTTCCCGTAAACGGACAACTCTCATAAACAGACAAATTTTTTAGTCCCATGAATGTCTGCTTAACGGAGGTTTCACTGTATATATATATATATATTTTTTGTAAACACAGCGCTTTTGTTATTTTTAAAGAGTAACATATATGTTTGTTATTATTAAAAGTATCTTACAGAAAGATATTAGAGCTAGAGAGTTTTGTCGCAGATAGCAAGAAAAAATGAAATGGATGGTCTTACTTTATTCATGTCAATAGTAGTATTGAAGGAGAGTTCTGGATTCCTTTCAAGGATTAAATATACAACCATTATAAGCTGAAAGACAATTAAAAAAAAACAATAACACTCTTAACAACAACATTTGTGCATTGATTTTTAAAAAAATGTAAGACTATTGGTTTCTTGTTTTGTAATTTTTTTTTATTACAGGGTGCATAGCCTAATTTTTCAACAAAAAAAAGTACCTTTTAAGCACTTTTCAAACACTCAAATATTTTAAAGCTTGTTAAGTTGAAATTAACAAGAGAAAGAAAACTTTCTGTTGCTATTGAGGAAAAAAAATGTATAATGTTTAGTTGGTCCTTGTAATCAGCAAAAATTCGAAGGGTTCGATTTCAGAGTGCAAAAAATGAAGCCTGATATTGCAGGGGTGATTGTGAGCCCAAGTCAAAATTCCAGAAAATTTCTTGAGTAAAAATAAAAAAGTTTAAATCGAAAAATTTAAAAAAAATTTAAACAGGGTTTTTTCCTTTTTCTCAATATTTCTTGGTTTACCTAAAATATATTTAAAATTTTACACAAACCTATAACATTTACAAATACCTATGTCGACCTGGAGAAGTAATTAAAATTTACAAATATATCTTTTTTTCTTGAGTTTATGATTATAATAACTATTTACAGATAAAAAATGAATATTAATCTTGAATACACGCTTATAAAGTATCTGGCTCTCCCTTACAAATAAAATAAACTGTGTTTTTAAGTTCCACCTTTGAAAATTAGATTTCCAGAAACTTTTGTGATCAATGATTTTTTGAAACGTCTGAACCCTCGATCTCCGGAAACTTCCAGATCACGGTTAGCATAAAATCCGGATTTTTTCCGGAGCACAATCAGCCCTGATATTGTTAATCTCTTGCAAAATGCAGCAGATATGCGCGCGAGTGGCCAAAAATCCTTCCCACTGAATCCAGCTAAGTATACAAACATGCTGTACTCACAAGTATTTCATCAAACATGTAAAATGAATGGCATTTTTATACGCTACGAGCAGACGGCAAGTCATAATAGAATGGGGTTCAATTAATTTCGAAAACATTGATTAGAACAATGTCTTTTTGCATAATTCGGAGCAAAAATCAACATGGTTAATTAAAAATCTCATTTTGGAAAAGGAAAATTTAACACTTTTTAAAAACACCTAATGAAAAAAGCACCTTTAAGGGCTTTTGAAAAATGAAAATCATAAATAAGCACCTTTAAGCACTTTTTTAAAAAACGCTACGCATCCTATATTACAATAAATTTTTTACTTTATTTCATATAAATTTCATTTTATTATTTTATACAAAATAAAAAAAATCCTGTAGCCTCATCACCAGCCAATCGAGATCATTACCCACGAAGATGGCGCTTGCAGGGATCCAATAAATATTCTGCGGGTTAGGCTAACTCAAAATAGAATGGAAAGAACAGTTGTTAACATTAACAAATGTCACATTTCAACCGTTAATCAGGAAGTATACCTACTATAATGTCATTTGCAGGCATTCAATTAGCAGATTCAAAGTTTCCAATTTTAGTGATTTGAGGAAGAAAAAAATAATAAATATTCGTAGACATTTTCCTTCAAAGATTTAGATTAGCAAAAATATTTCATGAAATTGAGAAGTAACACTAGATGCAAAGGAAACTTTTTTCAGAAAAGTTTGGTTTAAGTTAAGTTAAGGAAAGGGATTTTTTCAGAAGTCCCAGAATTTTTATGAGCTAAAACTTGTGATACTAAGGTTTTACTGCATACATGTACTAACCAAAACTGTTAATACATGGTTGATAATCAAATCTGGAAAAAAACTCCTTGTGTTTTCCCTGTACGTATTATATACAATGTATTAAGAGGAAAGAATTACTGTGCTCTTGTATGGGCTATATCGGGATAACTATACTAATTTTAATTGCGGGAAAAACTTAAGAGTAAAACAGGAACACCTGAACATAAATAAGCTATAGTGAATGAAATAGTGTAGTATAGCTAAAATATCTTTTTTAAATGTCTCATAGATTGCCCTATTTTGTGGTCGCAATTTTCTAACAGACGAAAATAAAAAACAAAATTTACTGTATTTTTCCAGGAAAATTCAAAATTCTCTATTAATTTAGGTGACTTTTTTAATTTCCTGAATTTTCCAAGTTTTCCAAGTGGATGGGGCAACTCTGTAATGTATGAATGCAGTCAAAAATAGTTAATAAAAACAAAAATTCCTTACATTATAGAATTATAAACGTAACTATAAAGATCGCAAGTAATAAATGTAGTGTATCTACCACAACAAATATACAATCCCAATTCACTAGTATATAAGACATGTTAACTCGATTTTACGTTGGGGTACCTTTTCATAGATGAAGGTTGACATCAGGGTGCATAGCCAAATCTTTCAACAAAAAATAAGCACCTTTTAAGTACTTTTTAAGCACTCAAAAAGTATTTTTAAGCACTATATACATTAACACAATGCAAATTAATTTTCAAAGAGTTTACATGATCATGAGAAAATAGCAAGTTTCTGACAAAGAACTCTCTTCTTGATTATATTAGCCGTTATAAAACGATAGAGAGATTTTTCTGTTCGATATCAGAGGCCTGAAATTGAGAATATCTTGCAAATCAGCAGATATTCAGCAGTGTTGCACATGAGAAGGCAATAATCTCATCGAACTCAACTCAGTAGACACACTTACGGACTTGCAAGTATTTAAAATGAATGGCGCTTTCATAGGCTATGAACCGGCTGAATGGAATGCCAAAATGAATTGTGAAAATGTTGAAAAGAACAATGTGATAAGCACGGTTTTGGTGAAAATCGACATGGTAACGAAAAAAAATCTCATTTTTTAACAGGGAAAATTAAGCACCTTTTAAAAACACCTTTAAGGGCTTTTAAATAATGAAAATTGAAAATAAGCACCTTTAAGCACTTTTTAAAAAGCTACGCACCATGGGCATAGTAGATAATTACTCTTCCCAAAATAAATATTATGGAGTATCCTTCTCACCATCAAATTAATGTTCCATATAACAAAAAACAACAAAGAAATCAAAAACATATAACAAAACTAGAAAATCTACACATTATTATAGTACAAGGGAAGAAACGTACCTCAACTAATATTTGACGATATTCGGGGAGAGCAACTCTACTTAAAAACATCTCCACTTCTGTGGCAAACTTCAGATCGTAAACAGTCATCTCGGTTAAAGTTGGTTGCTATAAAGAAATAAATGACACATTATTCAAAATCTAAATCATTATTCTAAAAATTTTAATTAGTCCCTTTTGCATACTGCTGTTACAAATTAAATTAAAGATGCTTTTTCTTATTTGTTATTTAAAAGATAGTATCAGTGATGTTAAAAGAATGTATATGACTGCACCTTCTTTAATAATTAACACAGATCCATACAGAAGAAACAAGAAGTAATTTTCTGATATTTTTTTTAAATAGTTTACTTGATATAAACTGATTTATCTTTTCTTGTTAAGCTCTTTTCAATACTTTATTAGCAAGTAGTATTAGTTTTAATACATATATTACAAAAAAATAATTACAAACATAGAAATACAGTATAAGATTTTCATTAATGACCTTTGTGTTACACAGATCATTTCACAAATCTGCCAGCCAGGTGCCTGACAGTGAAGCCAGTGGTTGCAGGTTCGAATCCCGCTCTGGGCATGGATGTTTTACTCTGTGTGTTGTTCTTTATTGTGTGATGTGTGAATGTGGCCCACTCTATAAAACGGGTATCTGTGGCAGTGTGAAGTGGGTAACGTTGCTCGCCTCCATGACTTAGGTTCACAGGTGCCCACTGGGTAACGTAAAATGAGTAACACTTCCGGCACCTTCTTAGGCGAAGAACGTAAAAATTCAGTGCCTGCCGTTAAAAAAAAAAAAAAGCACAAATCTCTAAATCTACATACTAAACTTGGCAACATCATCATAGTTGGCCAGACAGTCCAATGTGGGCCAATTATGCCTTCCTCTGAAGATTTCTCCATAACGACTTCCAATTTATGTTTGATCTCCAACTCTTTTCATTAATTGCAAGAAAATCAGACTCCACTGAGTCAGCCTATCTCAACCGCAGCCTTCCCTGCTTTCTTGTTCCAGTGGGTCTAAAAAGCAGTATCTTTTTTATTGTATATTAGCACTATCACTTATTCGAATCACGTGGGCCATCCAATTCATTCCATTTGCTTTAATGTATTTAATAATATCGGGCTGTTCATAAATCTGGTACAGTTCAAAGTTAAATCTCCTTCTCCAGTTATTGTTTTCATTTACACCACGGCAGTATACTCCTCAAAGTCTTTCTATCAAATATTACCATACAATTTTCCTCCAGTTTTGTCATTGTTTAAGCTTCAGAAGCGTATGTCAAGATACTTGTCAATATTAGTCTGGTACAAATTACACTTAAAATGCATTAAAATAATTTTTAAACGCAAACACAAAATATGTACTAAGAGGGGGGGGGGATCGAAATTTTCTAGAGCCTTAAAACTAATAACCATCAAATTTATCAATTTTGGTTTGTTCAGCTTTTGAAATTTCTTATCTGCATTTCTCATTGTTTACACCCATGTGTGGTTTATGAAGAATTGTGGTATATAGAATTGCATTATAAATATCTTCTACTGTAAAAAATGCCTTTTATTAATGTAAACTTTTTTTTTATACATAAAATTGGAGAAAAAAAATATCTCTATGTTTTTCTGTGTCTTATTTAATTTACAGTCCCTTTTATTTTATATAATTTAGTACATATGCTGTCATCATGTTAATAGTACAGTCGAACTCGTTTATAACGAGAACTCGGATTTACCGAGGGAAACGAGAATATTTGGTTGGATCAATGTTAAGTNTTTCATGAGCATTAGTGTATTTCGCTTGCAGGTATCTAATAAATATTCTATAGGTTAGGCTTACTCAAAATACAATGGAAAGAACAGTTGTTAACATTAACAAATGCCACGTTTCAACCATTAATCAGGATGAAATTTTTTAAGCTGAAATTCTCAGTGCTTACACCCGTGCGTTGATTATGAAGAATTGTGGTACATAGAAAATGCCTTTTATTAGTGTTAATTTTTTTTAAAACATAAAATTGAAAAAAAATAATAAATGCGTTTTTCTGTGTCTGATTTAATTTACAGTCCCTTATTTTATATAATTTAATACATTGTTGTCATCATGTTAATAGTAGTTTTTTTTCACGAGTTAACACTTAACATTCGAACAAACTCTTCGACTACAACTATCAAAACTAAAATGCAAAACATGTCATAATTAATAGTATATATAAAATGTGAAATGTTTTTACAATAAACATTATTTATCTTAAATTTCAGGAACTTAAAGAAATTGCAATTAAATACACATTAAACAGGAGAAATATATATACATTAACATATATATATATATAAATGTATTTTACTTGAGGCAAATGATGACCTTCGACAATAATGCCCTCAGGTGTCCTTGACATTATATCCCACACACGATCATAGAAGTTTTTTGGCACCCGGCACAACGCACCCTCGATTTGACGTCTCTCGTGAATGGTCAACCTTTGAAAATGTAATGCCTCTCATGTAATTCATGAAATACCATTTAAAGAAAAAAAAAATCATTTCAAGAAATAATAATTATAAAAAATAGTACAAAAACAATTCAAACATAATATTCTTGACTCCTTAACTCTTAATAACCTTTTGTAGTTTAATCTAGTATTTTATTGCACTACAAACCAATTTTTTCCCCAAATGACACAATAGGAAAATATAACATACTCAATAAGTCTCCAGTCTGATACATAAACAGCTAACAGAACCATATGATTTCTGAGCCGTAGGAACTTTCAAACAATAATTATCAAAATTCTAATTACAGTAGGGAACCGATTATCCGGAACGATCGGGACCATCGCTATTCCGGATAACTGATTTTTCCGGTTTTCTGAATCGCTACAAAAAGCCGTTTTTTTTATTGTTAAACCCAACTAAAAAAAAAAATATTAGGAAATAATCTTAAAAAGAAGAAAAAACGATGAAGTAATACAGTAATGATTATTTCTAAAATGATGGTATTGTAAACATCTTTCAAAAAAGAAAGAAAATCCTAAAATCTTATGAGGTAAAAAATTCATTTTCTTAAAAATGGCGGAAAATTTATAGAATTTCGTTCCGGTGTTTTGGTTTTCCGGTTTTCTGATTTCCGGATAACTGGTTCTGCACTGTATTATTATTATTAAATTCCGATAATTAGTTTAGAGGTTACAAGTAGTTTTAATGACCCTAGTTTTTTAATTTTTAAAACAATGGACAAAAAATAAATTTCGTATTTTGATTAAGCATTGTTATTTGATGGGGAAAAATATTGTTGAAGCAATACAGTGGCTTGATAGGAAACTTGATAGGCATTATGAAATTGATGATACTTGATAGGCATTATGGAAACTCTGCACCACAGAAACCAAAAATTACTGGCATCAGAGTGCATAACCAAATCTCTCAACAAAAAATAAGCACCTTTTAAGTTCTCAAAAAGTACTTTTAAGCACTATTTACATTAACAAAATAATTTCCAAATACTTTAATTTACATAATCATGATAAAGTAACTAGTTTCTGGCAGAAAACTATTTTCCTGATTATATTAGCCATTATAAAATAATCAAGAGATTTTTTGATTCCATATCAGAGGGTTGAAGATGAAGCCTGATATGGAGAATATCTTGCACACGAGAGTGCAATAATCTCACCGAACCCTTCTCAGTAGACGCACATGCGGACTCTTAAGAATTTCATCAAACATGTAAAATTATAAGTGCTTTAATACGCTATAGATCGACGGTACGCCAAAATAGATTGTGATTGAATGAATTGTTAAAACGTTCAATAGAACAATGTGAAAAGCATGATTTTGCATAATACACTCCAAAAATCGACATTGTAAAGAAAAAAAATCTAATTTTGGAAGTTAAGTTAGCACTTCTAGCAGCTAAATTAAGCACTTTTTAAAAACACCCAATGGAAAAAAGCACCTTTAAGCCTTTAAAAAAATGAAAATTGAAAATAAGCACTTTTCAAAAATGCTACGCACCATGTGGTATGCTGGTCTTAATGCGGTCTTTATGACACTGATGTTGAATGCTTTGCAAGGTGTCAGTTGCTTTCGGCATGAATGCCACGTTTACTCACACCACATCAAAAAGAACACTGAGACTACAATTCAGTTTTAATATTTTCCATATAGTTGGAGAAATATCTCCAAATTGACAATACTTTAAAAAGTTTAATAATTTTTTAAATATTTAAGTTACTTGCTAATTTTAATGTAAAACTATCAATTCTCAAGAATTCCAGAAATTGAAAGAATTCAACTAATTCTTTCAATTAAGGTAGTAGACACTATATAAAAATGAAGCATTGTGTCTAGTTTAACTTTATATCATGGCCTTTTCATTTTCTAAAGCAAATGAGTGTCAAAAAACACATATAAAAACTTGTTACATGTACATTTATAAAGTTATTACATTTATATAGTGATCATGCAGAAAATTTAGTGTTTTTTCGAAATGTCATTTAATAAATTATTTCATTCAAGTTCTTCAAATAATAACAATACAATGATGCAATTCAAAAAATAAATAGAATAGGAAACAAAATTTGTAAGAAAATTACTTTGTATTAGAACCATTTTCCGATAAAGTCAACACTCTGTACAAAACTTTCCTTAGCTCACTCGGGGATAAACTCTCTAAGGCCTAAATAAATAAAATAACTTTCAATGCATTAGACGTTTCTTCATTATTGGCAATCTCGCACCTGCCAACATTGAAAAAATAAAATATGGAGATTTTACTAGCGACACTTTTTAGTCTACGAGTAAAGTTTTGATACATCATACATAATCATGTAAGTCAAAAAGAGAAATTCAAAAGTGGAAATAATATAAGCACTGACATTTAGCAAAGTAAAAAATATGTACATAAATCTTTATCTAAAGAAGATTTTTTTTAAACTATTATTTATAATTACTTAAGCAATCAACACACTACAGTACAGGTAATAGCACCATTTGTTGAAGAATTTTACAGTCAAAATTTTTTTTTTTAAATTTCTTCAACGAATACGGAGAAATTTGGGAATATACAGGTAATCAGAAGACAGTCACAAAATACAGGAGTCTTCCTTAAAAAACAGGAGACTTGGCAGGTATGCAATTGTGTAAGTAATCAATGACTAATAATCAGAGAAGTTAACTTACAGCACTGCTTTTTCTATAATCGAGAAGCAATTTTTACTGCATTAAAACACTTTTAATTTATAACCTGCAAGTAACATGATAGTTTGATTTTAATAATTAGTTTATAAAGTTAAAAAAATTAATTCATCACATAAATAAAATTCCTTGTATTTATTAAAAACTGCAGTAACCTACTGGAGGATTGGGAGACAGGAACTTCATGTGCAATATCATAGCTTGCAGAACCCATCTGCAAAAGTAAAATATTTTCATTACTTTTTTTTAAAAAAAAGTCATAGCAGTATTAGAAAGAAAAAAAAAACAAATTTATAATAAAAGTTTGTTATATGAATAAAAAGTAATAATTTTAATTCCTCCATCTGATCCCATTATGGAGCCTTAATGTATATAGAATAAGTAAGTAGACAGCTTCAATTACCTTCAATGTGTTCAACACTAATACTATGAATTAAAGATACATTCAATGATTTAAATATACAAAATCTAATTTATATTTGCATAAGAATATTGCTAGGTCAACATCCTTGAAAAGTTATTATAACATTAAAAGTTATAGAGAATATTGTGAAACTCAATAATTTTATTATAAACAATACTATTATAAAATACAGCCAGATACAGTCGCCTATATTGAACTGTTTGAGGGCCTGGCATTTTTAGCATATTGCAGTAGTATTGTTGGAAACAATGTTTGCAATAGTACATTAGTTGCTATATGAATTATTGATTAACTAAACATGCAGAGTCTCTACAACATAATTTCGTGCCATGACAAAAATGTTAATTGGAACATTAGGTAACATTTAAAATGTTTTGCACATAATGAAGGGGTTGTGTCCATAAAACAAAAATTTTTAAATCTTTATTTTTCTTGTTTCCTCAATTTTTGATAAAAGTCGGAATTACTGTACAAACTATTTGCTTGACCATGTGCCTGTTTTTGAAACCACTTACCTTCTTTTTCTTTTAATACTCATTTTAAACACTCCTTTATAATGTGTATAATTCATGTTTAATTAAAAGTTAGAATTATATACTAATCTCATAATTTAAATATCTCTGAAAAGGAAATTTAAATCCATTTTAAACAAACTAACAACTTCTAAGCTGATCATTGTAAGCATATGAAATATAAGTTAAATTGCAGTTTAGAAGAGACTACTAAAAACTTTTACTACAATAGAATGTTCAGTACATACTGGGCTCATTATAGCAAGGTTAGACTGTATATTCTATGATATATTGAAAATTCGATATTTTAAAAAAGGCATCAAGTATATGATGCGTATCTACAATACTTAGCATCATGCATGGTAATTATTGATAACCATAATTTTTCAATAGCAATGAATAATTATAATACTGTGATAATTATTGATTGCTATAGATAATAAATAAGATAGTAAATAAGTAAGATAATAAATAAGTAAGATTATTTTAAGAGTGCTAAATACTGTCATTTTATCGCTTGTGCTTAAACTTTTGAGACACCCTCATACTTTTTTTATCATGGTAAGAGAACAGTCATGATTTTTCAGCAAATTAATAATTTTCTATTTTCCTCATATGAAAATGCATTTTTGATAGCCTTCTGTTGTTGATCTTAAAAAGAAATTTTTTACTTGTGTTTAAACTTTTCGAGATGGAGTGTACACAATTTAATAACTTATTTTAGAATCAAAATTTTCAGCTTCTCTTAAATTGCTTTTTTAAGTAATTATTTATATAGCTATATTTCTCAAAATGCTTTAAAATTTATCCCTCCAACACCAATACTTGTTATCAACGCAGAAAAAGTATTTAGACTGGAATTTTTTAATGACTATTGTGATAACATTAAAAAATACATATAAAAGATTGTATAAAAAATTAAGTTGTTTGGAATAAATGCTACTTATCTATTAGCTATTTAAAATTATTATTAAAAAGAAATTATTTTGATATAAAAAGGTGCACATTAAGAGTTGTTACTCAATTTTAGAAATAAAATTCTCTGAGTGTTTTCAATTTTTTTAGCAAATATTAACAAAATTCCTGATTTCAATTCAGGGTTGCCACAGAAAAAAAAATGAACAAAATAGTTGCTTTTAGTAGCCTAAGGCATGAAAATAGTCGACTAAAATTATGAAAATAGTTGCCTAAATAAGAACAAAAATTTTCAATAATATGACTAAAATTTTATTAAATGACTTCATTGTAATATACCATGATCCATTTAGTCAAGTTGATGGCCAATATGATAATTTTTAAATAACGCATATCAGGTCACTTTTCCAAGTCCCGGCTCACTGAATATAAATTCTATGTTACATATTATTGGATATATGGTCAAGTTTTAAAAATCGTTATCGCTTATAAGGTCATTTTTATCTGAGGTGAGGGGAACTCTTTTCCAACAAAGGCCCNTAAATAAACGTTAGTGTTCTAGCACTAAATTTTTATAAAAAATAAATTTGTATATTTGCAGAATTTTAAATGCTAGAATTAATTTAGAAAAATAATTTTTTGTTAAGAAAACATACTATTTCTATTGATTTTTCTTTTCAGATAATTTTTCCTAAAATCACGCAGAATTTTGCAGCAATAACTGTTGAAAAGACGATTGAAAAGAAAAATAGATCCACAATGGAATCTGCGCAAATTGAGCGCATTAAAAAGTGATGACTCAAATTTGCAATTCAATATTTTTTTATTTTTTAAGAAAAAAAATCATTGTGTTCAGAAGCTATTGCGAGCCGCAAGTTGTCAACCGAATTTATGCTAAAAAAAAAAAAAAATTGCTAGGAGCACAGAAAAGTCTCCCAATAGTCTCAGTTTGCTGAAAATAAACTGCTGTTTGTAGAAAATGCAACACCATGAAAGAATCATCAGAATCAAATGAAATTTAATGCAGAAACGACTTGTACTGATACAAATAAATGATGAAATTTTCAAAACAAAAGAAACAAATTAAGCGTCCGAAATCAGTATTTGGTGCAGCCACCACGCGCTGCAANATAATGTGTACTATTTACCTGCTAAGTTATGAGCTGCTAATGAATCGGTTAAAAAGTCACCCAGCTTATAAGGTCACTTTTGCGATGTCCCTTAGGGTGACCATACATAGAGGTCTGACTGTATTATTTTTTCCCCTCATAAATTTCATAATAGCCAACTGTCTATTATAATGCACAATTATAAAATTTATAAGAAAAAAAAGAAACAAAATTATGCACAAAAAGAGAAAGATTTACAAACTAAATGTATCATAGTTTATAAATTGGAGTCATATCAGCCACATAGTCATCCATCAGGATTTTACTTGTGATTATGAACGGAAATTACTTTACATAGAAAGCTTAATTTTTAAAAGCATAGAAATTATTAAACTGCAGACCTTTTTATTCAAATAAATGTAAAAAAAATTACTCACAAAAATTAGAAAGAGATCTCAGATTTTTTGAGTAGGTACCTCACTGATCAAATTATTGTTATCTTGAATTTTGACATTTCCCTCGGCTCATTGCAAATTTGTTGTTTTATCAAAAAAAAAAAAAAAAAAAAAAAAAAAAAAAAAAAAAATTCCCTGACAATTAAAAGTTTTTCAGGTTTCTGACCTAATGGCACTTTGAGTAATGCTATATCTGCTAAGGAGCCGGCCAGGTGGCCGAGCAGTCAGCATGTCTGACTTTTTTTTCTCCTTTCCTCCAAGCCCAGAGCATGTACTTAGGTTATGCAAAACACTTAACCATATAGCCCAGGACTTGGCCACCAGCATGTCTGACTATGAAACCAGTGGCTGCTGGTTCGAATCCCGCTCAGGGCATGGATGTTTCCCTCTCTGTGTGTTGTTCTCTGTCGTGTGAATGTGGCCAACCCTATGAATGGGTATCAGTGTGATGTGGGTAATGTTGCTCATCTCCGTGACTTAAGTTCACAGGTGCCCACTGGGTAACGTTAAATGATCAACACCTTTGGCATTTTCCGAGGTGACAAACGAAAGTTCAGTACCTGCCGCTAGAAAAAAAAAATCTGCTAAGGCAACTGCGGCTCACCTCATGAGGAAATATTGGAAATTTTTATGCCCAGTGACCAATATATAATAAACCAGACATGGCTGACCACTTAATCATGAAACAAAAACTTAACATGTAATGAAAAGAACAAAATATGCAAGAAAAATTTATGAAAAAAATTTTGCCAATTCAAATGGAAATTACCCAATTCTTATTTTCAGGATTCCTTGAAATAGGTGGGATGTTGTGGATATAAGGCGACCCACATAGAGGATGATTTCCTGTTGTAGGACCGCTTGGTATATATCATGCTCTTGGCACTTGGAATAAATGATAGCCTCCACTTCCCTTGGCGTCAGTGGCTTATCTATGACAACTTCTTCATGGCCAAACACGCCAACAGTGATCTAAAGCAAAAGAAGATATCTTGAATGAATTGCGTGAGGTGATACAACTGCAGTTAGGCATTTACCAGATTAAACACAATGAAGTAGGCCAGATTCTTACTCAAAAATAAGCACCTTTTAAGTACAATTTAAGCACTCACTTAAGTACTTTTTAAACACTCTTAAGTACTTTTAAGCACTCTTAAATACTTTTTAATCTCTTACCCCCCAAAAAAAGATCTGTGCAGTAATAAAAATGATTTTTTTTTCTCTTGTTTAAAGTTCTTAATTTATAAAAATAAAATCAATAAAATTCAAAAACTTTACATAATTATGATAAAATAACTAGTTTCTGATAAATATTGCAGAGGAAATTATGAATATTATGAATTTTTTGTAATTTAGAATGGCAGTCGATACAGCAAAGAAAATTTTTTTTTTAAAAAAGATATAAAATTAAGCACTTTTTACAAACCCCGAATAAAAAAGCACCTTTAAGGGCTTTCAAAAAACGTAAATCAAAAATAAACATCTTTAAGCACTTTTTAAAAATGCTACGCACCCTGAGTAAGAAATAGTTAATGAAAAATTTTAATTGTGTCTTTGTATACAAGTGTCTTTGTGCAACAAGTGAAAGCATATTTTTTCAAAAACAATTCAATGCATCTTTTTTTATAAAATAAAAACTTATTTTAGAAATGTTGCTTAAGGTTCAAAATTTATATTAAATATCTGAGGTAATTTCTTCTAAGTCTTTTCTAGAAACTTGTCTCTGAACTAAGGTTCGGAAAAAAACCTGTTATGTTTTTTGCTTAAATTGGATATCGTTTAATTTAATATTAAAACGATCATAGCTGTTATTTTGACCACAAATCAACTTTGAGAGATGCTAAGTCCTAAAATAATGAAACCAGCATACTTGACTTTTGTGACTTTTCCTAACTTTTTAAGACCTTCGTTAGAGTGTATGCATAAAATGACATTTTATCTAGAACGTTCATTTGCGGCTAAAATGATCGCTAGAGAGATTTGGGTGTATTACTTTGATTTAACACACTGTTTCTATTCCATTTCCACTGAACAAGTTTTCTCTTTACACAGGAATCTTACCCCTCTTGCTCGCGGCTACTCTCAAGGTAATTGTTTACGCAAGTGATAATTTCTTCGATTCAGATCACTTCTAGATATGAGCTTTTAAACGGCTTAGAAATGACCAATGTGTTTACAATGTGTGCAATTAGAAGTAACCATTCAAGAAAGGTACATTCCTGGAAAAATTTTTAACTTACAATAAATAGCCCTTACAATTAAAAATTAAGCAGGTTAAAAATTTGTACATCCCAAAAAAACTTTATTCCTCGAGGGCATTAGGAACTTCAATAGTTATTACAAAATTACTAAACTGTAAAGAAATGCTACCGATTAGCAAAGCTACATCTACCTTGCACTTTTTTTTAAAAATATTAGCAGCAAAAACCGACATGGTAAAGAAAAAAAAATCTACTTTTCGAAAAGGGAAAAATTAAGCACTGTTTAAAAACACCCCATGAAAAAAGCACCTTTAAGGGCTTTTAAAAAACGAAGATAAGCAACTTTACAAACTAAGGTAAACAACGTTAAAGAGCACAAAAATATTATTAAATGCAGACAGCTGTTTTGGACAGTGTTGCCAGAACTTAAGATTAAAAAGTAGCGAATGGGAGCTCCAAAAGTAGCGGATTCGAACATTTTGTAGCCCAAAAATATATCATANCGTTGTTTACCTTAGTTTGTATTTTAGCACAAAGGTCGTCCACTTGTGTATTTAAGCAACTTTAAGCACTTTTTAAAAACGCTATGCACCATGATTACCATAGTACAGTACAGAACTCGTTATCCGGAAATCAGAAAACCGGAACGAAATTCGATAAACTTTCCCGCCATTTTAAAAAAATTTTTTTTTCCCTTATAAGATTTTTCTTTCTTTCTTGAAAGATGTTTACCTTACCATCATTTTGGAAATAATCATTAGTGTATTACTCCATCGTTTTTTCTTCTTTTTAAGATTATTTCCAAAGAAAAATTTTTTTTTTATTTGGGTTTAACAATAAAAAAAAAACAGCTTTTTGTAGCGATTCAGAAAACCGGAAAAATCAGTTATCCGGAATAGCGATGGTCCCGATCGTTCCGGATAATCGGTTNGGTCGCCCACTTGTGTATTTAATCAACTTTAAGCACTTTTTAAAAACGCTATGCACCATGATTACCATAGTATTAGCTAACATAGCATTAAGCTTACTCAGGTAAGCAAAGTTCTACTGTGGATTTCACCTTCCTGCAACCTAACATTTTACAAATTTAATTATTATGTGCTGAATATTGATTTACCTGTTTTCCACAGACAAGAATGGATGTAATGTTGGGACTTATACTATCAACCAACTTCCTAAGTACACTGGAACAGTACCTTACGACAGACCTAAAGATAATGAAGCAGCACAAGTGGTAAAAAATAAACGATATAGCATAAATGGTAAGGTACCATCCACAAATAATGCCCCGATTAGAGTGGAGGGGGTAATCTTTAGAAATACTAACTCTTAACTAAATCTCAAACTAGATCTTTGACATATTTCACTTAAGTCAATTTAATCGTCAATTAAGTGATTTTTCGATAATTTTTTTCGGTAGTTTCTAGAGACTTCCACATTTTAAAAATTGCAATATTTTTAATATTATTACAGCACATGAGTTAGTTTTTAATCTTGTATTTAAATATTAATTTTATTTTGCACTTCATTTTTACATATTTCATCGTAAATCCAAGTGATTCACTTTCAATATTTTATATGAGCAGGATATTGAAAAAGCAGAAGAATACATCTTTTTTTAATTGATTGCAGTTTGGAATTTTGTTTAGAATTTTCTGTAGCTTTAAAAGCGTGTTTTATCAAAAAAATTAACATAGACCTCTTATAATTTACTAAATGATAAATTATTTTAAACTCTAAAATTTTTTTTGACAGTATTTAATTTAAAATTAAATATTTATTATAATTAAATACTTATTTATATTGAATATTTATTTATATTAAATATTAAATAAAATATTTATTTTTTAATTTTCCTTACTTTAACTTTATAAAGCTTTGTTTTTTCTAAATGAAGGGAATATTTATTTAAAAAAATTATTAGTTTTGAATAAATTCTAATAACTAAATTCTATCTAATATCTTACCAAAGTGACTGATAAAATAGATTTACTGCTTAGTCTATAGTTTTACTATAGATTTACTGCTTAGTCTGCTGTTCTGTCTATAAAAATTACGATGATTGCCATTAACAAGAATAAGTATTTTGGTTTACTTCATTAGTTAATCATCCATGCTAATGGTCCTTAGTTCAAAAAGGTTATGAATCCCTAATCTACAACATATGTTTTGTAGTGTTGCTACAAGAACTACTAGTATATCTTTATGCAAAATAAGCATAAAAGTAACAATGGTTAACAGAGGTATGGTGTAACATTTTGGGATAAAAGGAAGGAGGCCGTCCAAAATATAAAAAAAAGTAAGATATAATTTATGAATGGTCCCTAAAAATAAATGATATAGTTACAGGTATTGCATTGTCTTACCAGTGCCTGAGAGCACCAGCTTGTCTTGTCAGTTTTTCTAAACGTTCTTTTACGGTACCTAATAAAATAAAAATATATTTACATTTGAAAAATTACTTTCTTAATAAAAGAGCAAAGAGATTTTTTACATTTAGGTTTCTGTAATACTTATACTGTGACTACAAAAATAGTGGTAATGACGTGAAAACATAAGCTAAATTCAAAAAATAATTTGTATAAAATTGCTTCAACCAACACCAACTTACCCCTGTTATGGGGTGACTTGATCCAGATCAGTATGAACGGAACTAAGCATATTAAGAAATGTAAGTAAGTTATGTTTTAAATAATTTGAAATTGAATAAGAATGTATAGTTTAAGGTTACTAAGAAGATTGCTTCATTCATTAAAATATATTACATTGATCTTATTCATTAAAATATATTTTTGTTCACATTCATTAAAATATATTTTATGGAATTTAATACATTTTATGGAATTAAATACATAAATAAATTACGATAAATAATTAAAGTTTACCAAGTTCAAAAAAATACATTTTAATGAATAAATAAAACAAAAAACAATAATAATTCTGCATATTAGGAAATGTAGGTATATTATGTTTTAAAGAATTTGAAGTAGAATAAGAATGTATAGTTTAAGGTTACTAAGAAGATTGCTTCATTTATTAAAATACATTACATTGTTCTCATTCATTAAAATATATTTCATGGAATTTAATACATTTTATGGAATCAAATGCATAAATAAATTTTGATAAAATAAAAAATTACAGCATACTGTCGTTCATTTTTTTTCTTATTGTAATTTTGTAAGATGAAATGTAGATTAAACAAAATTATTGTGGTCTGTATTTTAAAATAGTTTTATGAAGAATTATCTTATAATGATAATCTTATGATGAACTATGTAGATTAAGAAATGCATGTATGTTATGTTTTAAATAATTCGAAGTCGAATAAGAATGTATAGTTTAAGTTTCTTAAGAAGAATGTTTCATTCATTAAAATATATTTTATGGAATTTAATACATCTTATGGAATTAAATACATAAATAAATTTTGATAAACTCAAAAATTACAGCATACAGTCATTCATTTTTTTTTCTTTTTGTAATTTGGTAAGATGAAATGTAGATTAAACAAAATTATTGTGATCTGTATTTTAAAATGATCCTATGATGAATTGTAATTCAACAATATTTTAGAATAACTAATTTTCTGCAATATAATCAGAATTCTTTCTTTTATAAGATTTAGAATCTGTCACTTGTGGAGAAACAATTCTCACAAACATAAAAAGAAATGGATACCTCAATTGCTCATAAAAGTGTTACAAAAATTTCAATATATGAATAAAATTATCAACGAATACCAATCACAACTGTTTAAGATACCATAGCTTTATCTAGAGCTTAATTTCTTATTTTCACTAGAAGGTTTAACAAAGTTAAAATAAGTATCAGAAAGTTTGAAGTTGCCGGTTGAAAAAAGGTACAACAGAACAATAAAAATTTTACTGCTACTGCCTGAGCTTCATTTACACTATTAAAATGACAAAGAATTGTGCAACACATTCAGGTAACTAGGACAGAAGGAATTTTGGTAATCAACATTTATATTTTATACAGCAAAAAATTACAAATAGTAAATGGCAGCCCAATAATTTGTTAAAAACAATAATAAAAAAATATAATAAAATTTAAGATAAAATAATTAACATAAAAATTAATTAATAAAATAATTAATATAAAAATTTTTTCTTTATACTAATTCTTAACATCTTACAATATATTACTCTATTCCTACTATTAGTTCACGTTCTCCCTATATATCTTATTCAAATTTTCAATTGTTAATAAAATACTTTTTATTCTTCCACTCAAGTTCAAATACATTTTTTCAAACTTGCAGTGGATGACACTTGATGTTAATACAGTATTTTCAAATATTAATTTATTAAATTTAATTAATTAATTTTAGTTTTTACGGGAGAATTTTTTTTTAATCATTTAATAAAAAGTAACTAAAATGAAAATTTTCTTCGTGGATCTAAGAAGGAATTTACTTAAAAAAATAAATAAAAATTATATCACTTGTTTTAAATAATTAATTGGTTCAAATCCTTCTAATTAAAATTTGACAATAGCAATACCAGTCTTTGAAACTCAATGTGATTGATAAAAAAGTAAATTTACAGGCTAATAAATAAATATATCTATAATAAAAATATACAATAAAAAAATAAAAATGTGATTGGATCAAAATAAACTTATATAAAACTTAATATTTGTAAAATAAAATGGACTTTTAAGACAATAAAAAAATTATTTACCATTTTCAGTCCAAAATTGAGGGCCTTCACGAAAGTAAAGAATGCCTAAAAGCTGACTTTGACCATGGAGGGTATCAGTTCGACTAAGAGCTTCTAATATGTCTCTTGATGATCTATGTTGAAATTCCTAAACAATAAACATTACATGAATAAAAGCTTTCACAAATGGCAACATTAAATATGTTAATAAGTTTCACATTTGCTTTTATATACCTGGCAACATTGGAGAAATAAAATCATGGAGATTTTACTAGCGAAATCTTTTAGGCTACGAGTAAAGTTTTGATACATCATGCATAATCATGTAAGTCAAAAAGAGAAATTCAAAATTGGAAATAACATAAGCACTTGCATTTTGTAAAGTAAAAAATATCTTAATCTAAAGAAGATTTTGTAAACCATTATTTATAAGTTTTTAAACTATTTTATTTTATAACTGACGTTGAATAGCCAACCCAATTTTGAGTTTACGGCTACTAATGTTCAACTCTGTAGCCTTGTAATTTTGAACCCGATCCAGAAGACAAGGAAAATCTTGGTACAAGCACTGGGAGAAATTTGCCTTCGTGGTATTTTTCAAACAATTAAAAATTTTGCAAAACGAAATTTTTTCGACCAAACATTTTTCCTAGGGTTGCCTGAATTTCAATTGAAACCTCATTATCATATATATATAAGTTGAGATCATACAATTATTGGTAACCACCATTTCAGTTTTACTAAATTTATAAAATCTGTCTAAATTGAGTCATAAAAGAATTAAAATCAATATTTAGATCACTTATAATTGACAACTCATAGTTAACATACACAAAAAAGTGTTAACATAAAACATAAATCAAACAAAAATAACATAACATGAAACATAAATAACATAGTTAACATAAAGTAACTTAAACTAAATAGTCATAATATAGCAAATAATATTGATCTGAAAGTATTAAGAGTACCATATTTTTTACAAAAACCAATTAATAGTTCAATAATTTTAGCTATATATTTTATAATAATACAAATCATAATTATAGTAGTATATAATGCAAGTAGTGTGAATGATTTAATATCTTATAAAATGTTCTCAGTAATAAAAAAGAAACTTGCCCCAGTTTTTGTCAGATTTTGACGTCAAAAACACAACTTATTTCTACTAAATTCATGCTAGTCGTAAATATATGCTATAATTTTGCATACTAATGATATAGTGATCTCATGTCATAGCGTCCATTGTCCTTGTAAATCACAAGGGTTATAATATTGACTGTACTATACAAACTATCAGCCTGATTAAAATAATAAGCAAAAACAACACTTCTACTCACTTTAAAATCATAAGTTGGCTCATTATAAATGATTGCTTTTGGTATATCAGTCAAACTTTGGTATCCTATTGATGCATGTTCTAGTTGTTGGAAAGCTTCAACAGTAGGTAAATCATCAGCAGAAAGTAAATGCAGAAAGTCCAAGTGTTCAATACAAGAGGAGGATATTAGATTCTGAATACAGATTATTATTCATTAAGAAAGAATCTTATTTTCAGTTTTCATGAAGCATATTTTGTCATGGTTTATTACAATAAGGAGGATAGAATTTATGTTACAAATTTGCTGCAACAATTTTAATTTTTTATTAAATTAAAATTAATAATAATAAAAGGCATTCATTATATTAAAATTCTATAAAATTTACAGTATGAATGGCTAATTTAAATAAATTAAACAATATTAAGAACAAAAAATTTGAAATGAGTATTATTTGTTCAATTTTTATAATTACATTTAAGACAGTCTAATAGTGGATATTACATGTAAATTAATAGTGAGTCAATCGATCATGGGTTAGATAGCTAAACCTGCTAATCATCACATACTGGTAAAAGAAACTATGTTTTAAATAGTAAGAATATGTTAAAATCAAAGTTGGGCAAAAATGTAGTAGATTACATTTTTCAATTTACAGTAATCAATTACTTGTAATCATGATAGCATAATTTTGATTACAACATTAAATTACAGTTATAAATTACTTGTAATCGTTATTACAACTTTGATTGAAATACATAATGCAACAAGATTGAAATTTGAGAAAAAAAACACATACAATTTTAAGTCACAAGACCACACAGCTACTAATGTGCAAGTGTATATTGTGTAGTGTTTAGATAAGAGTTGGATTATTTCGGATTTCCTGTTATTTACACTCAGATTATTCCCGCTTTCACGTAATTGATGGAGTTCGTGGCAGGTAATTTATATATATATATATTTCTTAAGGGTAATGGGCAATAATTGATTACACAGAAAAGCAGGTGAAAAATGAATAAATATAATCAAAAAATTTATTGTATGGATATTTCAAAACTTAAAAATCAATATTCAACAAGTGCATTAAACTTCCACTTTTTCAAATGCCAATTTCCAAATTGTAGCAACTGATTACACAGTAAGTACTATTGTCATTTTAACACAGAAATATATTTTACAGCAAATTTTAAAACTACACAAATAAAAATTTCATGCTTTGTAAATTTTAAAATCAATGATTTTTTTTAATAAAAGTTCTTCTATTTGAATAAATAGCAATAATAATAATAATAAAAAATCCATTGATTTCAATAAAACTTATATAAATCAACTAACTCTGCTGCTCATGAAAGCAATTCCTTACAATTAGGATGTGACAACTCAGTTGTGATTAATAAAATTAGCATTTCTAGAAGCACTGAAAAAATTGTAGACATAAGCTAAAAATTATATAAGTGAAACTATAATACATATTGGCTACCTGCAGTCGTCCTGTCCTGATTTTAAGACCATCACAATCTCCTTTCTTCAACATAGCTAACAAATCCAACATTTCCTTAAAATGGACATCTCTAAATAATTAAGGAAGTTGCTTTAATATAAATATCCAACAGTATACACATTTTAAAATGTTGATCAAGTGATACAAATAGGCATCATCAGAAATTAAGTTTTATGAAATAAAATTAGCTGATCAATTAGTCTTTATAAATTGTATCTTTATATCAGTTTTTAAGATCTTTATATAAGATTATATTTGTATTCAAAAGAAAAAGAAGCTAACAAAGTTTAGAGAGAAAAAGAAATAAGCAAGGACTTAACTCCAAAGCAAAATTAGATATGCTATAAGAATTTATTTTTATTTGCTTACTAAATCATTCCAAACTACATTAGCGAAATAAATTAAGAAAATTTGCATATTTTTTCAAATTTTATGAAAAGAACTGAACTGAATGTAAAACCACTGCTTCTAGACAAAAATGCATAGCTTGCACATCACATACGTAAGCGTAAACGTGTAGGCACAGCCAGTAGAGAAACAGGCTTAATAAGTGTGCGTAAGTTACGACGCATTTCGTTCGCTAGCACACCTTGGCGAATTTCTTGGTGTTATTTTGCAGCAATAGGTTAAATTCAAATTGTAACAGTAAAAATGAGTAACCACCAAAGTTTAGATGTCGGAATGAGGTGGAAAATTGTAGGGAGGCTAGAAACAGACCAATCTCAGGACCAGATTTGAAGAGAGTTCAATTAAACGCCTAGCATTGTGTGTAACTTATGGAAACAGTTCCAGGATACCAGATGCATTAAGAGAAAGCATGGGCAAGGTTCTCCAAAAGTCCCGATGGCCTGTGAAGATCACCGTTTGTCCATTACAGCGAATCTTAACAGAAGAGCTGCAGCTTCTTAGCTCTTTTGTAACTTGCATGCAGCTACAGGAACCCATGTATCAAGGGTGACCGTTTTCAAATTACTTTATGAGAGAGGGTTGTCTGTAAGAAGATCCGTCGTTTGCGTCCCACTCACTTCTACGAACAGGAGAGCCCCGTTCAGCATCAGAGAGCTTAGAGATTGGAGTATGGATCAATGGGTGATCGTTCTCTTAACTGATGAGTCCTGGTTCAACCTAAACACCGATTGTCGCCGTACGTTCATATGGAGAGAACCATAGACCTGCTACCTACCTCCTAATGTCCGCGAAATCGACCATTGTGGCGGAGCAGGTTTAATGGTCTGGGCAGGCATCATGCTGGATGGCCCCCCACCTCTCCAGGTCCTTGAAAGAGGCCCTGTGACTGATGTGAGATATAGGGATGAGGTCTTGGATCCCTATGTTTGGTGTTTCAGAGGTGCAGTTGGCCCCCTGAGTTTATTTTACTGGACGATAATGCGAGGCCACATAGAGCTCTTCTGGTCTACGAATTGCTAGTGAGTATATTCTCCAGATGGATTGGCAAGCCAGATCTCTGGATTCAACACTATAGAGTATGTCTGAGACACTCTGGGGAGGGCAATTGCAACTCGCTACCCCCCTCCAAGAATCATCCAGGGAATAAAAACGCGTTGCTGAATAAGTGGGGCCGATTGCCACAGGAAATTATAAACTGCCTTATTTCAAGTTTGAAAAGACGGTGCAAGGCCTGTATATCTGCAAGAGAGGACCATACCCCCTATTAACCCATTTTTTGTTGTTTATTCTCCAACCGCTCTATCATACCTTCCACCTCCAATGAGTGTTACGTACGATCATGCATGTATATTACAATTGTTGAATGGTTATTTGTTTTGTATTGTATCAATATATATACAAATCAAATTTCATTAAAATCGGTCCAGTAGTTCTAGAGATAATCGACCAAGTTTGCAAATTCTCTTAATTTCTTACACCAGTATACTTTTTCAAATTAACAAAAAATGAAGTAAGGTGAAAAGTTTTAAAAACTTTCATTACTTAATTTAGAGTGAGTTCGTTTTCTGATACTATCGCGTAAATTGGGCATGGTAGAAATTTCTGTGGAAAAGAAAACTGAAATTTTTTACGTTTCAACCCCCCCCCATCTTTTCCCCTGCAAGAACTGGGTGACAATGTCGCCGTATCGCTGCTATTCTGCCATGGGGATCCACGCCTTTGTACATATTTGTCAAAAAGTACTATGTTCAAATAAAAGTTAACAGCAGAGAGAATAAAAAAACTTTTATATTTGTTTACCTCATATGCTCTTCTCTAATAAGAATGCACACAGTGGGCCTTCCTGACATTCGCCAATATTTACCAACAAAATGAAGCTCATTCTGTTAAAATAAAAAAACATTTTGTCATGTTAAATAATTTGAAACATAAAGAGGATAAAAATGGAAAAATAGAATTACTATAAATGATCGAAATTTGCAATTTTTATTGATGAATGTCAATAATAACATTTTCGCTTTGTTGAAAGTCACAAATACTTTTTAGATCAGATTTGATAAGGAATACCAGGAGTGATTTTTCCTCAAAAGAACATCAGTGTAGAGAACATTGGTTTTAGTATTCCCAGTATACAATTGTCCAGGCATACATTTTCCAACACTGTTTTTCCAAAACTAAACTGAGTGGCAAGACAGCCCATCGAGGGTCAAAGCCTACTGTGCCAATCTCACTTTTCTTGATCTTTGGGCTTTGGGGTGCAAGAGCTGATGTTCCGGTTGTGTGGTCAGCTCAATGCGGAGCCCAAGGTGTTTAGTTCCTATGCATGCGTAGTACTCATTTTATCGATCCACTGAAAGGATAAAAGGCTGAGTCAACACTGCCCGACCCGAAGATCGAACCGAGGACCTGTGTCATGACAGCGCGAAGTGCTACACTCAGACAGCAAAAGTTGATGTTTTTCCTAGTCTATCGTAATCAGATATTGAATAAGTACAGAGGTAGTAGTCGGCTTTTCTAAAAAAAAATTACTTTAGCGACCATTTCATTTAAAAGTAGTGGCCATTTTTTACAAAAAAGTGACCACATAGGAAGTGCAGTAGAAGAGAAAAAATTTTTTCAAAACAATAACATATAAAGAAAAATGGCAATTTTGTATATAATAGCACTAAAATATGAAAGATAGTTATAATTCACCTGAAGTAGGGGTGCACGACCTGCGGCCTGCCAACCCTTGATGCAACTTGATTATATAAATTGAACATTCTTTTATGATTTGGGTATTCGATATTCTTATACGGTTCTTTTAAAGTTTTCCTGATATTTTCGTTGCGTACAAACCCTGCTGCTAATGATAAGAGGATGATATTGAAATCGTTGAGACGTTTCCGGAACCTTATTAAGTCAATATTATCATTACTTTGCAATAAACGTGTTTCCATTTTTCAAATTCAACATTCTATGATAGTTTGGGACAACAAAAAGTTCCTTATGTTACAAAAATTAACATTTTTAAAATTGTTATTACATTATTCTTTCTAAAAGTAGTAGCCAGCAAAAGGCTTACTCTGGCTATCACCTTTAGAACTTAAAATTTCATACCCTATCATATAAAATACCAATTAGAAAACAAAAATATTAAAATAAAACTGAAAATATTGGATAAAGATTATTATAAATAACAACAAAATTTATTTTGTAGAATTTGCCTACAATTGGATTTAATGATTGATTATTTAAATGCTCAATTCAAATTTTATGCATAAATTTTTTCAAAAAAAACTAACCAAATTTTTTTACTTCCAAATAGAAAAATCTTTTTGCTAGAACTCTCCTAGTTCTGTGACAATGCAGCCACGATTCTGCAACGGAGTTCACCAGTGAAAGTCTACAGTTATCAATTTTTATCTTTTAAAGAATTATGAAACACACAAATGGTATTACCTTTATATCGTCAATGAGTAGCGCCATGTCATGAGACAGGTAGAAATCACTGACCTCAAATATTAAGGGATAGCATATCACAGTTTGACCACAAATTCTGTACAACTAGAATAACAATAAATGCTTCTTTTATAGACAATCTGGATTAAATAAATACATAAAAATATGCAATTTACTATGTTATACATTGAAGCGACCCGTCCATTAGTTTAAAAAAAAATGTTTTTCAGAAATCTATAGAAGCAGACAATTTTATTTGTTTCTATTCAACTAAAATAAAATTAGAATGGTAATAGGAATGTTAAATTGATAAGAAATAGATGTTCAATTGATAAGAAATGAATATAATTAAAAATTATGTGATCAACCCCGGATGTCACAAGTAATAATAAAAACTAGAATAAAACTAATAATATTCAGCCAATTGATAACCAATGTAAATATATTCTTCAAAAAAGGTTTACAATACTCCTTTACATAAAACGGTGAAATAAACTACAGTTCTTAAGAAATACATTACATTTATTTTTCTTTTCAGCTGCTGCTTTTTAGTTTTCTCACATTTAAAAATGATGCATTAAATAGTTAGGAAATTAATACAATTTATTTAAATTAGATAGAAAATATAAAGTGTTGAAAAAATTGTTTTAATATTTGATATTTCTTTTTTCAAGAAGAGTTTCGTTCATTTCTTCCACTTAAGAAGGAAGAAATTTGCAATCCCTGTTAAAAAGAAAGATGAAATAAAAGCACCTTTCAATTTGGAGAAAATGTTTTGATGTTATTAATCATATGATATCAAGTCTACGTAAGATCATGCATAAAATACTTACTTTACTGGTTCCAAGAGCTCCGATTGGCCTTGGTGGCCTGCCTTTTAATCCAAGCTTTTTACTTATACCAAGATATTCATAAATCTAAATTTAAAGAAATATATACAAATGTATAGTAAGATTAACCAAAAACATGGTAAAGAAAAATATATATCATTTTTGAAAAGGGAAAATTAAGCACTTTTTAAAAACACCCCATGAAAAAAGCACCCTTAAGGGCTTTTAAAAAACAAAAATGGAAAGTAAGCACCTTTAAGCACTTTTTAAAATCCTGATACCCTGTAGTTGTGATCTGTGTAAACCAGAATTTGGTGAAGTTCCTACGAATTGATGAATTTCACTTCACGGTCTCTATAGCCAATAAGAATCACTTTTTCAAAACAAAATACTGATGTGGGACAGAATAGATGTTCTTGAAAAAAATCTCATTTTTACTTTGATTGGGCAAAATAATATTTGAAGTTAAGCGATATTTATTTTCAAAGGTCATATAAAAATTTAATCCATTAAAAATTAATTTTGTAAAAAATAATGGCCTTTTAAAGTCACACCTGCCAACATTGGAGAAATAAAATAACTGCAATCTTACTAGAGACATTTTCTTAGTCTATGAGTAAAATTTTGATGCATCATGCATAATAACGTAAGTGTAAAAGAGAAATTCAAAATTGGAAATAATATATGCACTTACATTTAGCGAAGTAAAAATTATATACATAAATCTTAATCTAAAGAAAGTTTTTTTAAACCATTATCTACAATTACTTAAAACTATTCTACTTCATAACCGTCGTCTAACAGCCGACCCAATTTTGGATTTACGACTACTAATGTTCAACTCTGCAGCCTTGTTATTTTGAACTCAATCCAGGAGACAAGGGAACTCTTGGATCGAGTATTGGGAGAAATTTGCCTTTGTGGCGGATTTTTTGTGGAATTTAACAGCATTTGCAATAAATGGAGAGGAAAACCATCAACACCTCACATAGTTAGTCTGACGGCAAGGGACTCTAACCCATGATTTATCTACTGATGATATTTTACGCCAGCACTATGGTCGGTGCGAGTCGAGCGTGGAATTTGGATCGCTCAGTAATTGCTGGGATTTGAAACCGGTTGGAATAAGAGAAGTATTTCTGCCATCAGTGGATATTTTATCACCAAAATTTTTGTTTAAAAATTTCTTCAACAAATACAGAGAAATTTGAGAATATACGAGTAAAAAGGAGATAGTCAAAAAATACAGGAGTCTTTATTAAAAAAACAGGTGACTTGGTAGGTACCTTAATTTGATACAAAAATAATGATATCACTAGAATTAAAACTGACACACACACAAAAAGTAAATTGCATACCTTGACCAATTGACTGGGTGACCAAATCTGAACTGGTTCCACTTCATGTGGAGTTTGTGTGTGAATACCATATGTAGCCATCATAGCTTGCAACCTCATACTCTCAGCAATGAGAACAACTTGTACAACTAGATCATTAGCAGTTCCCTAAAATGTTAGACTTAAATCAAAAGGGAAACAAACACATTAAGAAAATGAGACAAAAGAGTAATCATCTCCAAGAAATGAAAGATGCCTAATTTTCTCTCAAAGTGGCATAATTGCACAAAATGAAAACAGTATCAAGAAAAAGTAACATAAAGATGTATGCATGAAAATTTATAGGTTTTGCTATCATTTTGTTTAAACTGTTATAAATTTTGTAGTTAAGCAAATCATTTTCATATATGTTAAAATATCAAAATTTATTATTACTTTAATTCCCAAACACAAAACTAATAGTAATTAGAACTTTTTATAGGTTTAAGTTTTTCTCCAGTTCCATTGGTTCATGATTCATTGTATATTGCAAGCAAAATAAATTGAAATAAGATTTGTTATGATTTAAATACAGTATAGGATGGAGTTAATCAGATTGGCTTCGGAAATAAATTATATTTTATTCAATGGCTAAATAAATTTTGTCGTTTAGTGGTGCTATTACTTATAATTAGGGAAATTTGTTTTGAATAAATACAGTTAGGAGCAAATTAAGTGCTTTAATATTAAGATTTAACGAAATTCAGAAAATGGAGTTAATAGATTTGCAACTGAAGCATACACATATCAAAGCCTTATAAACAATAATATAGTAAGTAATAACTGTGTATCAATGCACCCCTTACAAAATATATATTTAATATGTTATCAGGGGTTTGTCTAGGTTTTTCTGAGAGATACCTATTTTGTAAAAAGTTAGACATAATTTGTGAAAATTAAAAAATCAACACAAAAATATGGTAAAAATATGGATTTATCATTTCTTACAGGATGCAAAAATAAAATTTTAAGAAAAAGTTTTTTTCTGAAACTATTTTTCTCCCCCAAAGTTTAATTTGAGATGATACCGCTAAATGGTAGTAAATTTGGCTTGGACAAACCACTGGTTATGTACAATTAATTTTATCTTTTCTTTAAATTTAAAGTTTTTTATTGCAACACTTTAAATTACATTTAGAAAAAACTTATAATAAGATGAAAATAATTTAGTCAAGATTATTTAAAATTATACAACACAATCAAAACTTTTTCATATCATAAAGCTACAAATTTAAAGATTTCGGAACACAATTTGCGTCTCTTTCAATAATGTTATGCATCTTTATTTGAGGGCAACTATATCATATCCAGAGTTCATAGAGAACAATGAAAAATATTTTTAACCTGAAAAAACTTTCTAGACTTAACTATTGTTTTTCTTTCTTTCTTAATTTTAAAAATTTTCATATTCCGTTCCTCAGAGGTCGACTTATACACCCAACATACCAATTTGCAGTCTAGTAAGAAACAATAGGGGGTCAGATTATACAACGGGTCAATTTACACACAGAAATGTATGGTAGTGTAGATAAATTAACAAAACTAAAAACTAAAATGTATAAGGATATAAACACGGAGAACTGTCGTAATTTCCTGTGTATAATATGTGAACTACCTGTCTAAACGGTTTGAACCGAAAAAATCTTAAATTATTACCTTGGCATCAGACAATTCGGATTTCCTATCTACTTTCGTCATCCATAAAAATGTAAGGGACCATTCACACTAGATAAAAAAAAATTTATGTATGCAAATGATGGTGAAATATATTTGTTCAAGAAAAACTGGCCGATCAGATTCTTGTTCACATCTGCAGTTTTTTGGCATCCTTAAATTTGATCTAGTGTCTGCTCACCTGTTTCTCTGCCTATGTGCGTGGGCTTATAAGTGATGTAGATTCGCTTACACGTAAAGTAGTGTCTGCCTGTGAAAGTCACTTGTGTATATCCATCATAAACAAAAGTAGATTGCAGTGTTAAACAAACTACTAATAAGTGGACTATGGCGGTTCGATTAGCACAGTAGGTACAGATTGTCTGCTGAACTACTTCATCTTGTACCTCTCTAGAGTTTATATGACACAGCACATAATTCACAGGAAATTACGGCATTATAAATAAAATTTGGCAGAAAAAGAGACATCATGCATTTATGTAAGTATGAACATGGTGACACTTACTTTGAAATTAACACAACGAATGAAAGTTTTACGGCAAAAAGAAATATTAATGAAAAAGGAACAGTTATGTTACGCTATTAATAGATTAAGTTATGTTAAGCTTGTAAAGAAAATTATTCTTAAAACCCTAAAGCAGGCAAACTATATATCACATTAAGTAATCCATGCACATAAATATGAAAATCCAGGTAAATATGGAAGAAAATTAAAATAAGAGGTTTTAGTAATAGGGATTTACAAAAACAAAAGTTTCAAATGATAAATTTTTTTTTTAAATAAAAACATTGAATAAGTGTGCATGCACAAAGATAAAGAAACCATTTCATTCAGAAAATTGAAGAGAAATGTGTAAAAATTATTAGAAGAGTTCAGGCAAAATTGTTAGGAAGTATAGAAAGAATAAATAATAAAATAAAACCAATACTCACAGCTGCTTTTCCCTGTGTAAGAAAGAACCAGAATAAAAAAATAAATTTAGATTAAAAGAAGTGCATGGATTACATCGAAATTACAATAAATGCAATAGAACCCCTGCTAATCCAAAATTCTTGCTATACCAAACTGAAAACGAGAGTTTGTAACACAATATGATGTTGAAAAAGGTGGCAGCAATGCATAGGGGCATCGTTGGTGGGGAAAAGGTCCTCCTAATTAATTATAAATCTCTAAAAGTGCTCCTCAATATTCAGACCAATAAAGAAAATTTCAATGCATAATCATACGTCAACGTATAATCAAACATCAAAGCATAATCATGAGCAGCAATGGCTCAGGCGATAGAGCATTCACCTTCCAATGAGGCGAACCAGGTTGGAATCCCAGTCGATACGAATTCTGCATCCGGCTTGCATCGGCCACAGTGTCGACATAAAATATCCAGAGTGGTAGACAGATTATGGGTTAGAGTCCCCTTGCGGTCAGGCTAATCGTGGGAGGTTCTCGTGGTCTTCCTCTCCATGTAACGCAAATGCGGGTTAGCTCCATCAAAAAGTCCTCCACAGAGGGAAAATTTCTCCCAATACTCGATCCAGGAGTTCCCTTCTCTTTAGGATTGGGTTCAAAATTACAAGTCTATGGAATTGAACATTAGTAGTCATAAACCCATAAAATTGGGTTGACAGTTCAACGACGGTTATAAAATATATAAAATAAAAATACAGTGGGTGATCGGTTAACGAACAGATCGGTTAACGAACAAATCGGTTAACGAACACTTTCACGAAAGATTTTTGTGTTCGGATAACGAACACACATTCGGATAACGAACACTTTCAGGAAAGATTTTTTGTCGGACAACGAACACATATTCGGATAATGAACAAAACGAATTCTAACGAACACTTCTCAACCTTAAAAAAAAATTAATATTAAGCATTTATTATCATTTTGCATACAAAATAAGATCACTGAAAGGAGAAATGTTTAAAGCATGCTTAGTATTGATAATTACTAAATGAAACTTGAATTATGGAGAATGAAGGAGTAACGAAAATCACATCTGCGAAGCAAAGAAGTGCCATCCATGATAAAATGGAAAGGTTGCTTTTAGTTTGGATAAATGAACGGGTAATGAAACGAGATGTAACTAGTATGCCTATCATTCAAGAGAAGGCTAGAGAAATTTGTGAGAAATTGAAAGAACAAACTCCAGTTTAGTCATCCGAGGAGTTAGAATTCAAGGCTACCACTGCCTGGTTTACAAAGTTTAAAAAAAGGTCTGGAATTAAACATGCATTAATGCATGGTGAGTCTGCTAGTGCAGATAAAGAAGCAGTTGAGAAGTACTGTCTCAAATTTCAAGAATTCATTGAAACAGAAGGGTATCGTCCACAACAAATATTTAATTGTGATGAAACTGGTTTGTTTTGGAAGCGCATGCCGAATTGTACCTACATCACGAAAGATGAGAAAAGTGTTCCTGGGCATAAACCTATGANATTTCCTTATCGTTATCTGTAGGGCCAACTACAATCACCAAATCAAAGTGCCAAATAGATTTTGAACTTTAAAAAAACAAGTAGGTGCTTGCCTGGGGGTGGATACGATTCAAGTTGGTCACTTTCTGTGATTTTTCTTATTTTTAGTTTCTCTAAGGCCATTGCTCAATAGCCGCCAAAACTTGGCGATTATTCTGCAACAGATCACGATACAGAAATCTTTCCAAATATGATTAGGATATGTGCATGAGGGTTCGATAAAACATCGATTAACGACACTTTTTGGTCGATCCAGAAAACCGGGAAATTCAGATATCCGGGATAGCGATGGTCCCGAGCATCCCGGATAATTGGTTCTCTACTGTACTTTATTTACATTGTACTAGAGCTGCACAATGGGCTATTGGCGTCGATCTGGGAAACATCCCTTACAAACATAGAAACCACAACATTTCAAAAAAGCTGCCGCAAATATGAGAAATTTATAGATCATGAAGTAAAAACCGTAACTTGGTCGACAGAAGTTGGTGCACAGGGCCCTAAGAACGTGCGAGTGATTTCAGGGCACTAAAATCACTATTACTTATTGAAAGGTTCAATTTTAGTGAACTTGTAAAAAATCTACTTGAAAGCAGAGTTAAATATGGGTCTTTCAGGCCCAGTCCTGTTTCTGCGTGTGTAGGAAAAAAATTTCCCAGTTTTGTGATTTTGCAAATAATGCAATCATACTTTTAAAAAAAGAAGGTTTGAATGAAGAATAAATAAATTAATGAAAAGGCTTTCTTCATCAAAAAAATTGTTATGTGAGCACTTTTTAAAAACACCCCATAAAAAAAGCACCTTTAAGGGCTTTTAAAAAACAATAATCAAAAATAAGCACCTTTAAGAAACACTATGCGCCATGTTTAAGGCAGAGAACTTATAATGTTTAATATTAAAAATATTCGATAAAATAAATCTAAGCAAAACGGCAACATTAGAGAAAACTATCAGCTAAACCTAATCCCTACTAGAACCAAACATTGTCCTTTAAGCTCAATTTATGAAATAGAGAAAGAGAGAAAAAAAACTTTTTAACAAATGAAGTGGTGTCAAAATAAGATAACAATTTGTTGATCTGCAATATATGCCTCGAATTTATTTTCATTTAAACATGCTTTTGCTGCCTGCAAATTGGACATAAATCCAAAAATAAAAATCATTATGTAGTGTATCTACCACAACAAAAATACAATTTTAGTTCACTAGTACATAAGACATGTTAACTCAATTCTATGTGAGGGTATCTTTTCGTAGATGAAGGTTGACATTTGCGATATGGTACTCCCCACATTGGTGAACTTCGGATGTGATGTGAACACGCCTACCTTGACAGAAACTCCCACTCCGATAAGAACACGCCTACTTCGATGGATGGTCCACATTGAACAGTTGACTTGTTACTTGTGACTGTGACATTGACCAACTCCTCATCCTGTTGCTACTCAGTTTTGAGTGTATACTCGACGACTGCTAATGACAACACAGGAGCGACCATGACTGTGATCTTGGTACAGCTCTCCTGGCTTCTAACAAAACAGCGATGAATCAACTAGTGGTATTCCATTCATCAAATTCTATCGCAGATAAAATTCTGGTGAGGGAGTACTGTACAAGCATAAATGACGGAACCATCTTCTAATTTACCAAATAGTGTATAAAGCTGAGAGTTAAAATATGATGCTCCACATAATATTTCTAATTACAAAGGTACTCTGCATCTGAAAACAAGTTTGAGAACCTCAGCTTTAAAACTTCTTCTTCTTTGTAAGCGCAACAGCCCCTTGCAGACCTTGGCTGCCTCAACAGCTGACAAATGCCAGCACCTCCTATCCATGGCAACTCCCTTCAAGTTCTAATCTTTAGGGTTTTCAAATAATTTTCAATGTCGTTAAGCCATCTAGTAGGGGGTCTGCCTCTGGAACGTGGGGTCAGCTTTAAAATTAAATGTCGAAAAGGAAAAATTGAAGGTATGACAAAATTTTTTAAATTCTTGTAATGCTTTCTTCATATTTTATTGCTGAGTTCAGACAATTTTCCTTTCTTTTTTTACAATTTTTGACAGCTTATTACTTACTTTTCCTCAACTGCAATTCATCTTTTGCAGCACTCTTCTTTTATATTAGGTATAAGCAATGAATCTAATAAAGCATAAGAATTATGCAAGCGCTTTTAAACTTTCTGGTATTCAATAAAAAGTGAAAGAAATTGAAAACAACGGTGCCATACTAATTCTGAGTGGTGCATTTGGTGTCGAAGTCAGTTGGATTAACAGGGTTCTACTGTTGATCAATGCATATAATTTGTTAATGATTTAGTGAAGAAAATATTAGATTAGCAGTGATATAATAAGGCTAAAATATTTTAATGAATTCTACACAACAACTACAGAATATAGTCAAATGTATATATAGCAAGTAAAAACATTCTGCAACAAACACAGTGTTAAAAATACAATAGAACAGTATAAGAGATCAAATCTACTTCAGATAAATCAAATCCTAAATTATTAATAAAAGCTTTTATGAATTTGGAAGTAAATGCCATGGTGGGATAATGAATGGGGAAAGAATATTTAATGAATGAGCAAATAAAAACAAAAAATTATAAGCGGGTATTCAAATACTATGTAACCATATAATTGAACTTCCCATTGCTAGCTGACAAGCAAGTCACAGGCCCATCAAATGCTTACGTAAGAATGTCACTACACCCTATTTTGACTAAAAATATTCCAATTTTAGGATTAAAGTCAAATAAATGATGCATGTAAATTAAATTTATGTTTCAATTTGTTTCATAAAACTTTGAATAGAATCTTCTTAAGGAATCTTCTGTGGTACTTTTTAACTCATAGAAAAAATTTATTTGCAACATTTTTCCTTTCCGAAACTTAACATTAGTTAAGTTTTGGAAAGGTCAACTTAACATTATTTAAGCTTGGATTTAACATTAACAAATTTGAACTTTTTCCAAGTGAAATTTTTCCACATTTTTTGTTACTTTTTGGTATTTTAACAAAAATTTCAAATAACATGGGATTTTAATGTATGGACATATGCCTCTTCTCCCCCTTGTCAATAAAAATAAGCAAACCACAAACTCCTCCCTCTGTTAGTTGCTGATGTAATACTTAAATGGTTCCTATCTTATTTCCTTACTAAAACTTTCTTTACAGGGTGCGCAGCCAAATCTTTCAACAAAAAATAAGAACCTTTCATAAATGGGATTTTAATGTATGGACATATGCCTCTTCTCCCCCTTGTCACTAAAAATAAGCAAACCACAAACTCCTCCCTCTGTTAGTTGCTGATGTAATACTTAAATGGTTCCTATCTTATTTCTTTACTAAAACTTTCTTTACAGGGCACGCAGCTGGGATCTACACTCACAGCCTTACTTAAGGTAAATATGAAAATATAAGTGATACAGCAGGGTGAGCAGCCAAATCTTTCAACAAAAAATAAGCACCTTTTATATACTTTTAAAGAAGTCAAAAAATATTTTCAAGCACTATATACATTTACAAAATGCAAAACAATTTTCAAAGCCTTTACATGATCATGATAAAATAACTAGTTTCTGACAAAGAACTATTTTTTTTATTATATTAGCTATTATAAAGAGATTTTNCTTTCAACAAAAAATAAGCACCTTTTATATACTTTTAAAGAAGTCAAAAAATATTTTTAAGCACTATATACATTTACAAAATGTAAAATAATTTTCAAAGCCTTTACATGATCTTGATAAAATAACTAGCTTCTGACAAAGAACAATTTTTTTTTATTATATTAGCTATTATAAAGAGATTTTTCGGTTTGATATGAGAGGGTGGAAAATGAAGCTTGAACTTGAGCATATCATGCAAAATGCAGCGGAGTTGCACATGACAGTGCATTAATCTCACTGAACACAGCTCAGAAGACGCACTTACAGACTCGCAAGTATTTCATCAATCATGTAAAATAATGAGTGCTTCCATACGCTACCGACAGACAGTACGCTGAAATAGATTGTGGTTGAATGAATTGTGAACATGCTGAATCGAACAATGTGAAAAGCAAGCTTTTGCATAATACATGGCGTAAATAGAAATGGTAGATAAAAAAATCTTCTTTTCGAAAGTGGAAAATTAACCACCTTTTAAAAACACCCAATCAAAAAAGGACCTTTAAGGGCTTTTAAAAAATGAAAATAAGCACCTTTAAGCACTTTTTAAAAACGCTGCGCACCATGCTTTACTATAGCAAAACTTCTGTACCAAGTGTATGTGAGGAACTACACTAAGATAAAAAAAAAAAAAAAACAACTAAGACATTGATTTAGGTTAACAGATATAATCGAAAGAAGGAGGTTAAGATTGCAGAGGTTCTACCCTATTTATACAGCAAAATAAATAAATAAATAATAATAAGAATTAAACATACTTTTTTTAAAAATTCAGTGTGACACTTTGTGACAAAGGGGAAGAAGAGTTGAAAAAAATATTGAAATAAAAAAAAAAATGCAATATCATTCGTGAACATCCCATTGAAAGCACTTTAATATAAAAGGTTTTACAAATCAACTAAATATTAATTTAGGATATTTAGAAAATATAGCTAATACAGCTAAATTCTGAATAATTCAAAGCTTTTCCCCATCCCAGGAATTCTGTATAAAAATAATGTGAAAAAATAGTGGATAATTCAGAATTTTCATTCAAATACCCAAAAAATAAGGTAAAACTTGTCCAAGGGGTCTATCATTCAGTCTTAGAGTCACGAATGCTTCTTGTGAATGATTTATAACTATTTTAACTAGCGCAGTATAACTTAACCATTAGATATTATTTTCTATGCTTTTTTAATTAATTACCATTAAGTTTTTTGAATCACTGAAATAATCTTTTTATTAAATCTTTTCTGTGAAATAAGATATACAATTCGATTTCTTGGATTATTTCATTTTTTCGGTCCTTTCAACCCCAAATTAAGTGTTTGACTGTATAAAGGTTTTAAATTAAACGAAGCTTGGAATATTTTTAAACCCTTAAAATTAAATAAAAGAAAATTTACTTGCTTACAGTTATGAATTCGAGATTAAAAGATTAATTGTCAATTACAATTCAAGAGAACCAATTTATCAACAAAAAAAAAAAAAGATGACTGGGCAAATCTACTACTGCTAGAAAATTTAAATATAGAACAATAAACATAACATTAAACAGCTATGAACCTAAATTATTGAAAATTAAATTTCGATTATTTAGAGCAGGGTTGAGGTTTTGGATACATGGGTATTACTGTCTCAAACTGCCCTAAACTGACAAAAACTGTCTTAAAGTGTCCAAAACCTTAAAATTTGGTAAAAGGTAAAAATTCGATAAGTGTAACCATTGCACACATAATATATACATATATTAATTACAATTTGATACTTTTTATAGAATTTTCTTTAACTTATTAAAAGAAAATAATATAATAGGAAAAGATTTATAACCTTTGAAGCTCCACAATTCATTGAACAACAAAAGTGAATGCCCAATCCTTTAAATATGAATAAATGTGCTTTTAATACTGATAAATTATGTTTTTGCATAAGCATAAACACAAAATTAAAAACAATAGTAACCTTTTTTAATAAAACAAAAACTTGTCTTCATTTTGTTTCTTGCTCAAAAATTAACCTTTTGATTTTTATAATATTTTTTTTTTTTTTAAATTGTGACGTAATTTGAATAAAAGAGTTTTGACAGTTTAAGACAGTTTTGGACAGGACGGTTTAAACCATGAATTGATCCATTTTAGTCCTAAGCCTTGCCAACTCTGATTTAGAGTTAATTGAAAGGCTAACAAGTTTAATAAACAAATAGATGTACAGAAATAGTAACATAAATAAGCTAACAATTCAGAAAGGAAATAAAACATTTCACCTGAAATGCTGAGTAGCGACCAGTCTTTCGGGGTCGATTGTAAGAGGGTAAATATCGTCGGATTGGATCAAGTTCATTTATATGGAGCAAACCATCCACTAACATAAATAGATAAGAAATAGATTATTATTCATCTTTATATAAATTGTTAAAAAGAAGATTCTATTAAGCAGCCAAATCTTTCAAGAAAAAATAAGCAGCTTTTAAGTACTTTTTAAGCACTCAAAATATTTTTAAGCACTATATACATTACAGAATGCAAAATAATTTTCAAAAACTTTACATGATCATGATAAAATAACTAGTTTCTGAAAAAGAACCTTTTTTCTAGATTACATTAGCAACCATAAAAAGATTGAGAGATTTTTCGGGAGACAATTTCAGAGCGTGAAAAATGAAGCCTGAAATTGAGAATCTGTTGCAAAATGCAATAAAGTTGCACATAAACTAAAAAAACTCAGTGGCGCGACAGCCCATACAGGGCCAAGGCCTACTGTGCCCATCTCAGTTTTCTTGGCCTTGGGCTCTGGGGAGCAGGAGCAGATGTTCCTGTCAGGTGGTCAGCCGAGCACGGAACCCCCAGTGTTTAGTTCCCAAGCATGCTTGGTACTCATTTATCGACCCACTGAAGGGATGAAAGGCTGAGTCAACCTTGCCTGATCCGAGGGTCGAACCAGGGACCTGTGGCACGGCAGCGCAAAGCGCTACCGCTCAGCCACCGGGCGTCACAAAGTTGCACATAGTAGGGCAAAAATCTCACCGAACAAAGCTCAGTAGACACACTTGCAGACTCGCAGAGTATTTCATCAATCATGTAAAATGATTGGCACTTTCATACGCTATGGACCGGCAACATGATGAAATAGATAGTGAAAACAATGAATAGAAATATGTGAAGAGCACGCTTTTGTATATACATGCAAAAATTGACATGGTAAAGAAAAAAAAATCTCATTTTGGAAAAGGGAAAATTAAGCACTTTTTAAAAACACCCCATAAAAAAACCCTTTAAGGGCTTTTTAAAAACATAAATAAAAATAAGCACCTTTAAGTATTTTTTAAAAACGCTACAAAGGACGAATTACCAACCCAAAAGTTCTGACATAATGTACAAAGCTTGTCCATGTAGATATAGGTTATCTGCATCACCTTCATCGCTGGGAATGCGTTTTTGTGAACAAGGATCTCTTCGTTCAGCTTCGATGCACAAAGTGGGAACATAAAAATATTTGGGAATCACAGCATCTAAAAATAAAAGATTTAATTGAATTCATAAAACAACATTAGAACGAAATTCGCACAATATTGTATAAAAGTATAATTACTTCCATATTTGTCAACTTTCAGACGAGGGTGTAGTAAATGACGATATTTCTTTATTTGTTCATCGTTTCCTTTGAAGATACCTGATGAGAAAGTTCATGGTAATGAAAGGTAATTGTAAAGAAAGTCATAATTTAAATTGAATATAGTTAAAAAAGCATGCAGGGCATAACAGTCAACGTTGGAGGAATAAAATAACGGAGATTTTACAAGCAACATTTTTTAGGCTATGAGTAAAGCTTTGATACATCATGCAAGTCAACAAGAGAAATTCAAAATTGCTTAAAATATAAGCACTTACATTTAGCGAAATAAAAAATATGTATGTCAATCTTAATCTAAAGAAGATTTTTTTAAATCATTATTAATAATTGTTTAAACTATAAACATTCAAAATACTGCAGTACTGGCAATAGCACCATCTGTTGAGGAATTAGAGAAGTATTTTTGCCAGCAGTTGATATTTAATCAGCAAAAAAAATTTTTTTTAAATTTCTTCAACAAATATGGAGAAATTTGAGAATATATGGGTAAACGGGAGATAGTCCTAAAATACAGGAGTCTTAGTTGAAAAACAGGAGACTTGGCAGGTATGGCAGGGAAACATCTACAATAACTTATAAATATCATAAAAAAATTATGAATAGTTTAATAATAGTTTTGCGAAATCTAACAATTTAGTAACTGACAGGCAGGGACAATAATCGATTTACATAACTGCACAAAAAAAAGAAGACATACTCAAAATACTTTTAATTTAATAATCAGATTTCATAGCAATAAGCAATTCTAATTGCTGAGGGGTATACCTTAAACGTGCTAATTAATAAGTGCACACAATATTTTAAGTTAATTAATCAGGCACAAAATGTATTATTGCAATAAAACAGCTAACACTGCAGGCGTTTCAGCAATTGAAAACTTGGGGGCGATTTTTGAGTGATGAATCAGTGCATATTATGTGTCATCAGAATTCCCGAATTACTTTTTTATTTATCTTTAAAAATTGGAATAAATATGATTATTTTATTCTATATTTTATTTAAGAGCAAAACTTTTAGAAAAAGCGGGAAAATGTAAGAAAATTTTAAATATGCAAAATCAAAATTTTTGAAAATAAAGCTGAATTTGGGAGGGGTAGAATATACAAAAAAAAAAAAAAAAAAAAAAAAAAAAAAAAAAAAAAAAAAAAAAAAAGCAGAAAAATCTTATTTCTGAATTAAAGAAAGTTTAGGACTTGTGGGGATAGTAGTTAAAGACAATGTCAGTTCCAACTCACTAGTATATAAGATATGTTAACTCGATTCTATGTTGGGGTAACTTTTCATAGATGAAGGTTGATATTGACGATAACTATTCGCCCCACATTGGTGACCCGGATGTGATGGGAAAATGCCTTCTTTGACAGAAACTCCCATTTCCATTTGAACACGTCTATTTTGATGGATGGTCCACATCGAACAGTTGACTTGCTACTAGTGACTGCGACATTGACCTCCTCGTGCTGTTGCTACTCAGTCTCGATCACACACAACGTTGGTATCTACTCGACTGCTAATGGCAACACAGGAGCAACCACGACCGCGAACTTAATACAGCTCTCACAATAAGCACTCAAAAGTACGGTGATCTTAATACAGCTCTCCCGGCTTCTCACAAAGCAGCAATGAATCAACTAGTGGTATCCGTTCATTGAATTCTATCACAGATAAAATTCTGGTGGGGGTGTACTGTAGTGTCTTACCACTACAAAAATACAATTCCAATGGACAATTACAGTCAGTTTTTTTAAATTATTTTAATTCATTCAGAATCCTTGAAAACCACCAGAAAACATTTTAATACTTTTCTAACAGTACTGTTATTTTTAAGCAAAAAACGCTTAATTTCGTTTTCATCTGAAACAGGGAGTCACGTGATTATTCACGAACTGACGTCATTTGTGTCCATCTGCCGTTCCTTTACACTTGCTGTGCTGAGAAAACCATAACGTTTTCCCTTTCATTTGAATTTTAGTAATTAAATCCAACAATTTTAGATGGTAAATAACTAAGAGAACAAAGATAATTATAATATATTGTGCCCCAATGTAGCTTAATAAAAATGAAGCTTAAAATAACGTATTTTTATAATATTTTCTAATAATAATATAAAATTAATAATTTATATGGTACTCATTGAAATATTGTTAATAGCTGTTAGTTCTAAATATTAGAGTTTTTAGTTCAGTAAGAAAGGGGTTAGAATGAGTTATGGATGTCTGGTATTACTAATTAAAATTATGCATCATAAATACAAAAAAAATAGTTCTTTAATTTATTTTAACTATATATTAATCTTAATTTTAACATGTATTTCAAATTTATTGCGGAGATTTATTTTAATTTTAAGTAAAAGAAATGTTGAATCACTTTTGTATATAGAATTGTTTTAGATTTTAAAATGTAGTAAAGCTTAAGTTATTAATGTTTTTTATTTATTTATTCCAGCGTAAATTCAAAGCAGGGAATTGTCTTCAACATAGAAGTAGTTTTTTAAAAAACTTCTGATCCCAACAAAACCTTAAATTCATTCTTTCAAAAAAATAAATAAATGTTAAAGTGAAATTTTTTTTCTATATTCCAGTAAATTTTATTAACTTTATTGCAATTGCGTTAATCTGTGTTATCAAAGTATTTGAAATAGAGCATATGCATTTATTTTGTTCCACATTGAAGTACCGGGAATTAAATTTCGTAAATGCATATAAAAATAACTTTTCGCCATAACAAAGTTCCTATTTACTCAAAGAATAAAAATATTGAGAAAATATTAACATTACTGTTTTTTTTAAATTATTTACTAAATAATAAGGAATGTGCATTCGAATTTCTTTTCATTTTGTATAAGTTTACTTTTTTATTATTATTCTTTAGCTTTAGTGAAACAGAAAAGTCTAGCTAAATGATATTCGCTGAATTTATGTGGGTAAATTAAATAACATTAAGTGAAATTTTAAGTATAAGTAAATTATGGTGATGATGATGGACAGATATATTTCTATGAACTAGATTCTTGAAAGCGTTGATTAGTTTTCGGCGGTACCAAATGTTTAACCTGAGACTTTTTAAACCATTTTAATTAAACTATTTTACTTATATGTGTAAAATGTATTAATTTTACTATTTTAGAATTCTTCATTTCAAGCACTGACAAACAGTTTACAAAAATAAGGAAAGAAATTAACAATTACCATACTTTGTAAATACTTTATTGCAGAAACAGGAATTAAAAATTATAAATTTAAAAATAAAAATAATTTCTAACTGTAGCAAAATAACTGTTTGCTTAAAAAATAATAAATATAAGCGTTAATGTGTTTTTAAATATTTAATATAATAAACTGCATACTGACATAAACTGTAAATATTTACGTAACAAACTTAGTAAATATTTACATAAAAACAAAATCCTTCAACTCTAGTAAAAAAAAATAAAAAAAGAAGCAAAATAAAATTTTATTTGAATTATGGAACATTAGCACATAGATTGTAACGATGATGGATTCACATTTTTCAATTTACTTGACTTATGAAAACACTGATTTGTTCTAATGCAATACTGAATAATAAAATCATTCATCCTATATTTAAATGTATACCATTTCTATCCCACCTGCGACTGATTTTAATTAAGTAATTAGGCTGTAATAGATCATTATTTTAACTTAGAAATAAGGGGAATAAAATGATATTTTATATGACCTTTGGCAACACTGATTTCAGCCAAAAAGAATGTTGATTCGCCGCAAAGAGCAGCTGCATATTCATTTCTTCACTCATTTTAGTGATAAATAAACAGTTTGAAGTTTTAAAATCTTTCTCTTATTTTGAACAGGCTCTCCAAACTGTAAATTAAATTCACAAAATTTTTACTAATAATTTACAAAGGATGTTCATGCGATATACGTGATATCAAAACTAAAAGAATATTGAAATAACCTTAGCGGATGGAGGAGGCACGTTTCCATTCAGCACATGTTACGTCATTACCAATCACGAATTGTTTTTGATTGCATCACTTACGGAGGCCTTTTCGGACAAATTAAATGTTTAATAACTAAATAAATAAACATTTGACGAAAAAACGATCAGATTTTCAGTTTCAGGAGAGAATTTCTAATTAGTTGGGATAAAAAGTTAAAAAAATTAAGAGTTGCTGTAATTGTCCATTCACTAGTATATAAGACATGTTAAGTCAATTCTACGTAGGGGTACCTTACCATAGATGAAGGTTTTGACATGTCCTATATACTAGTGAGTTGGAATTGTATTTTTGTAGTGGTAAACACATTACAGGACTCTCTCAGAGAGTGAGGGCCTACATGCTAATATTGAAAAATTACTTAAAAACATTGATTTTATCTACCAAATTGAAGAAGGAAAAAAAAAGAATATTTGTTTTAATTGTAAAAAAGGCAAAAAAGAAACTAAACTTTTTTTTAAATTCATTACAATCTGACTTTTTAAAAAAAAAGAATATGAACATACCATCTAATATCATGTAGATAAAAAACAATGGCCATTCACATTCAATGTTTTCAAACTCCTAAAAGTAAAATAGATGATGTATAAATATGACGAAATACTTGATCAATGTATAATGTAGATGGAAAAAAGCTGCATACCTTGGTCTCTCCTTGCTCGTATACTCTGCGTGTGGTGTCTTCGACCGCCGTGCCATATCCGTCCCTGAGAAATCTCTTGAAACCGTAGGTTCCCTGCAGTTTCCTCACAATTTTCTCTTTTGTTCTGTTGTAGAGAAGTTCATCATGTGTGGCAAAACAAGGAAAACTGATCGTGGGAAGTAATGAAGAGTCTGTATTCTGAAAAATACAATGATTATCAATATTGAACACACACAAAAAAAAACTCTTAAAATATAGAAAAAGTTCTGCTACTAAGACAATTCGTAATAGAAGATGAAATTTTTATCACAGTGCCGATCAGCATTAAAATCACAGAACAGCATTGTTTCTAAAGATTATTTAACAAAAAAAAAAAGCTATTTATGTTCACAAATAGATTTCAATAGAATTGCAGGAAAGGGGGAGGGTTAGTTACCTCAACATAATCAAACAGTAGCACATGCAGGGTTCCTACAGAGATTAGAAGAAGTCCAAGGAGTATCCAAGGAGTCCAAAATTTTAAGGACTTATCAAAAATTAAAAAACTTTGTGCAAAAGATAACTAGACAGTTTTTTTTTAAATTAAAAAGCAGTTATTATAAGGAACTAGCAAAAATGTATAGTTTGCATATTTTTTCCTAGCCCTTTTCGAAATAAATTTTGACTTTGCCAAACTTCATCAAGAAAAAGTTATCACTTTTACACATAAATACATTTTCTAGTTTCAAATATTTTAATAAATCTTGTTAAAGTACAGATGTTAAAGATTAACATAAAAACCTACCAATCTTATATTTTTAAATTTGAATACATAAGAAAATCTAAGGCATTTTATACAACAACAAAAAAAATTATATCACAGTAAATTATTAATTAAGTTTGCTTGTAACATGTAAAATTAAAATTATTTGCTGTTATTTTTTTCTTCTAACTCTTGCAATGCAATTTTTTTTCTTTTAAAGTTTTTCTTAAACTATTAGATTTTGACAGCTAAGTCATATGATTTAGTTTCCCTGTTCGGACAGCAAATTCATCAGATAACTTTGTGAGTTCATCTGTGCAACACAATAATCTAAGGAGCTTCTAAAGACTAATTTAGAAATCTAAGTAGTTCCAAGCACTCCTTGGAGACCTTTTTATTTTCAAGGAGTATAAGGAGTCTGTATGCTCCCTGCACATGAATTTAAAAGAATAATTTCAACATTTGAAAAAGCAAAAATGGTTGCTAGGCAATCATGAGGATTGGAGGAGTGATGTTGAACAGGATCTTTAAAAAATTAAACAAAATAATTAGGATAATGAGGCTAAAAAAAATTTTTTTTTTTTTAGCAATTCTGACTTAAAATTCCAAACTAAATGAATTAAGTTTCTGTAGAGTCAAGTTATATTCTTATAAATTCTTCAGAGCCAGAAAGAATTATTATATGATTAACAAAACAGCCAAAAACATTAAAGGAAAAAATTCCGACTTTTCAGACGGATATTAGCGAATTTTTGTGAATTTTATAAATGGAATAAATATAATATAATAACAATAAATGTGATTGTTCATATTTTAATTATTGCTGACCTTTACACATAAAATATATTACTAAACACTTATATTAAAGTTGAAAATAAACATTATTACAGGTATTACGCAAATACATTCATTTCGATCATTTTAATTTAAATTTTCTGACATTTGCCAGATTTTCAAAATTAACTAAATTCTCCCTGTTCTAGATCACCCAGACTAATTACTTAACAGCTGTTTCATGCATAAAGAATTGGAAACTAAATCTGCAGAACCAAATCTGCATTACCATAATAAAAAAAATAAGATTATCTAAATCAAATAATTTTTATTTTTAAGACCAAACATACCAACACTTATATACCTATTTCTACCATAGGCGGTCAAATGACCGGACTTTAGGTTTCTTGTCCGAATGTATGAAGTATCGATGTTCGGAAGGAAATAAACTAAAAAAACTTTATCATAATTAAATAAAATTGTAGTTGGTGTGTTGTTGTTATTAACTTTATCATAATTAAACAAATGTTAGGAAGGAAATAAACCAAAAAAACTTTATCAAAATTAAATAAAATTGTAATTTTTATGTATTACAAACACAAAGAATAAGAAGTTTTAATTCATTGCTCAATGCATTTTTTACATATACAGGGTGCTTCCAGAGTACATTTTCCGCAAACATATTTCTTCTAATTGTTATTATTTCTATAATTCTCATAATTATAAGAATATATAATTCTTATAATTAATATTATTTCTATAATTCTCATAATTATAAGAATATATAATTCTTATAATTAATACTATTTCTTCTAAGAACTTGTGCTCTCTTGATTGTTTCGACATTTTTCTGGGTAAAAACTAACAGTTAGTTAGAAATGTAGTAAAGCTATCAAAATAAAATATAAGCTACTTACCAAAGCATTTGATTTTTGTCGCTTTTCCTGACACAAAAATGCCAATCTAAAATTTTGGGTACTTTTTTGAAATTTGAATTCGCAGTTATTCTGATTGAACTAACTATGCAACGGTCTTTGCAGAAATGTGCAACTAATCTAATGCAACAAATTGAACACGCACTACATCGTCATTTCTGATCCAATAACCTTATAAAGCAATAAATTGTTCTCCCGGTGAAATGACCGGTTGTGGTAGAAATAGTTATACGACAAGTATTATACGTAACAAACAAGATACAAAATAATAATAATAGAATATTAACTGTATGTAATAGTTAGAAAAAGTCATGAAGTCAAATGTGCAAAAGCAATAAGATGAAAAGTGCATTTTTGATACAAAAGTTCTTAAAGGTCATTTGACCGGTTATGGTATGCTTAGTGTAAATGTTACAATTTATTTAAGGACCATGATGGATTTGAAAAATATAAACCTTAGAACTAGATTCTCTAGGCAAAAGTGTTTCAAAAATGCTTCGATTTCGACTATGAGCGTCAATATCAACATAAACAACAGACCAAGAGGCTCCTTTATCACCAAATAGATTACAGCCATTTATAGCCTCCAGTGCCGACTTTGCCATTCCAATGGAACTGTAGAAAAAAATGCGTAATAAATATAAAATCTGCAATAAAAATACACAAATATAAAATTTTATCTATGTGTATGCCTGCCAACATTAGAAAAATAAAATAACGAATATTTTACAAGCGACATATTTTAGTCTACGAGTAAAGTTTTGATACATCATGCATAATCACATAAGTCAAAAAGAGAAATTAAAAATTGGAATATAAGCACTCACATTTAGCAAAAAATATGCATATAAATCTTAATCTGAAGAAGATTTTTCAAACCATTATATATAATTACTTAAATTATTTCATAACTGTTGTTATACAGCAGACCCAATTTTGGGTTTGCAGCTACTCTGAATAGAAATTTGAGAATATACGGGTAAACAGGAGATAGTCGTAAAATACAGGGTCTTTGATAAAAAACAGGAGACATGGAAGGTATTAATAAATAAATAAAAATTGTGGCCCATAAGTAAAACAGTCAACAACAACAAAAAAAAATGAATTTATGTCAATTATAAACCAGCTGTTAAAAAATTCACAGCTTACCTGGCATGTATTTCAGGAGTGTTATCATTGTATTTACTGCCTCTCTCCCACATGCCAAAATCTGGAGTTCGATATGCTCTCTCAACGTAGTACACAAGATTCTGGACAAAATTAACCTCATCCATTGTATAAATGATCTGAAAATTTCAAGATTTCTCTCATTAAATTTAAAAACATGTAAACAAAATATCGCCTTTTCCACACCACCACAAGAATACACATCAATATCTAGAAAAGTTAAATATGTAAGTGAGATTTATAATATAAATTTTTAATACAACTCACTATGCAGAGAAAGAAATTAAAACAAAATTACCTGGAGGCCAGACATGATCATTTGCACAAGAAATAACAAATATAAAGACACAACATCAAGCTGTAAAAAAAGGTAAATAATAAAATTGTTGGATATTTCTAGAAAATGTATTATTACATTGAACTTTCTATTCTATATACAGGGGTCTGTCCAGAGCAAATTTACTACTGTTTAAAGGTACCTTCACAAATTCAACATTAGAAAAAACGGTAGTTTCACAAAATACTTTTAAAAAAGCAAGTTCTAAGATTTTCCGCCTTTTAAAATTTTGTTTTCGTATCCTCGTAAAAAACTATAAATCCCAGAATTTTTTAAAAATGAAATGAGGTTCTCTCTCTATAAACTATACAGGAAGTCAAAATTGAAACATCATTCTAAACATTCGAACATTATTTTTAACATTATTATAAATTTAATCTAACAGGCCTTTATTTTTTCATGAAAAAATGTTTTTCCTATGAAATTTTTTTCTGTATGACCTAGTTGAAAATTTTCTCATAAAGAAAATAACTTTTAGTTCTAGTACTGTTATATGCATTAAGTTGAAATTTAACTATGGACAATGGATATTTAAATTCGGATAAAATTTTAAGCTCAAAATTTAACAACAGCAAAATCATTTTTTAATATATGGGGGAAAATATATAGAAATTTACCAGTCATAAATGTAGTGATTATTTGTAGTGACGATTTTTGAAAATAATTTCTTATTTTAACATATTTTGGTGTTGATTTTTTAATGCAACTTTTAATTTTCACAAACTATGTCTAAATTTTCACAAAATAGGTACCTCTCAAAAAAAACCTACACACACCCCTGATATAATTTTTAAGCTTCTACTCAATAAAATACCTGCAAATGACCATATTCTTCATCATTTTCTAAAGGTTGTCCAGTTTCTAAATGAAATTTACTATGAAGGGCATGTTCCGGGCATTGGTTTGTTTTGTATTTTTCCAACTAAAATAAATAAATAAGCAAAATTAAATTGTGGATTTTAATTTTAAAAAAACAACTTAGGTTTAAATTTAATTGAGAACTAATCTATCAGCAAAGCTGCCAACACAGATAGGGAAAAATCTAGTAGATTTTACAAAATAATATAAATTTCATAATTGTTGCATAATAAAATAAATATTTTAAACAAAGGGAATTTTAGAGATTTTTATAGTCATCAAAATAGAAAAACTTCAACATTTTCCAGTTAAGATTGAGATTAAACATACTCGAAATTTAATGTTTTTTTTATTTTTTTATGTCTCTCTAAAATTTAAGTGTAAAAGATTTTTTTAATTTATTTAAGAAGAAAATTCTGAATAAACTGAACATTTTAGAAGAAAAAAAGTTATGACCAGATCTGATTTGTAAAAATGAGGTTTGCTTCATTAAAGTATTGGTAATACTTACTTAAATATTCAAGCAAGTAATAATCTGTACAAAAATACTATTTCAATCAGGATTTTTTTTTACAGAAAACTTACTAAATTCTAGGGAATTTTCTAAAATGTACAAAAATCAGGAGAATTTTAATTAAATCAGTAGATCAGGAGAAACTGGCAAAATCCAGTAGGGTTGGCTGCTATGTATCAGTATTGGGGCAGGTGTGAATAATTTTCTTTTATTTTTCAAAAAATAAAAGAAAATTATTCACTTCTTTAATTTCTTACAAAATAAAAATATGTTTATAGGTTAAAATTGTGTTTATTTTGTAACTTCCTGAAAGGTTTTAATAAAATACATCATTACTTAAGGCATACCTGCCAACTTTCACTCTTTCCGAGAATGGATTTTCAGAGTGGTTGTAAAACAATAAACAAAAAACAATCTGACTCAAAAATATATTTATATTTTGATCCCGTTGAAATTCGCTTGCGCAAGGATTATTATGCTTTTATATATTTATTGTAATTATTTATATGTAGTGGTGGTCAAACTCATTTATAATTATCATTATAATTCAAAAAATTAATTGGAATAACCTGAGTATTGCTACCACTTTAAATATGAAAATAAAATCTTCCGGAAAATCCGGAAGAGTTGGCAGGTATGCTTAAGGGTATTTTTAAAAAATAACATCAATTAGTCTTGTGTGTTACCTTGAAGGAGTGTATGTGAACATGCCTGAACGTATGAGCAAGATTCAAGAAAAAAAACCCATCATGATATAGAAAAGAAAAAATCTTTAAATTATCTTTAAAGATAATTTAAAATAGGTGGGGAAAATCTTTTTTATTCTCATAATTAAGTAATTAAAGATCCTTATACATTATACAAAAAAAAAAAAAAAAAAAATTCTTGTTATTTGACACAACTGTAAAATGTATTAATTAAATGTAGTTAACTTAATCTAGTAAGTTAATTTGTGAAAACCTTAATAAATGCAGTGAAAAATCTGAATTTTTGAAGGAACTTATAAAAAGAAAACAATATTTGATTATAAAAATTTGGTTCTTTAATAAAAAATAAAAAAATTGACTAGAATGCATTAAAAATGATTGAAATATTTATGATTGGAATTTCACGGTGGAAAAAAATATTAATACCTAAAATTTTAGTTCAAAATATTGTGGAATGACTCAATCACATGATAGTATACAGTGTTTAAGTAAAATGCTAAGCTGAAAGATTTAAAAATTGTTCATAAAAAATAATAAAAGAGTAATATATAACTAAGGGAAATTGAAAAAAAAAAGAGTAAAAAAACTCTAGATGATTATTGTATTAATTTTATAAGCATATTACCCACAGCATACTATCTACGCTTTAATAAAAATTGTCAATGCATGAATTAAACTTTTTTTTATTTTTAATTGCGTGATAGGAAACTCAATGTGTGATTTTTAAATTGTGTGAATATGATCACAAAGTGTAATTTTAAAATGCAATATGAATGTTATTTTGAATTGCCTTTACATAGTTAAGAAAAAGGGTAATTAATGAATTTCTTTTCTTGGAAAAAATCTTTTTTATAAAATTGAATAAAAAAAAAATGAAAAACTCCTTCCTATGAATGAAACATATTTCTTATGAATAATAGTCATTAAATATAGTTTCTCAAACATAAAAATTTTACCAATTAATTTAAAGAATTATACTTTTTCCTCTGCCTGCCTCATCCAACAGAACAAAATTCCTCTCATGCACTTAACAGTACTTTGTCCAAGCTCATAAGCTTTTCCACGATCATCATCAATTCTTCTACAAATAATAAAAAGTAATCAGCTTAAAAAAAGTACATACAGGTTTTTTTGCATCACAGAAAAAAAATGGGTGAGAATTTCTCACTCTTTCTCAAAAACAGGGTGAGATTTCAAAAAGTTAAGTGAGATTTCTAAAAATATAGATGTAGAACATTTTCCATATGATGTGCAACAATATTTTTGCTGCACATCATATGGAAAATGTTCTACATCTACCTTTTCATCAGCAATTCTCATTAGGTTGCTCAAATGCGTATTTGTTTCGTTTTGATCGTTTCTACCCACATTTGTTTCATTTTCATGTGTCCGTTTCGGAGTAGAAGATATTGCCTTTACAAGTTATTTGTCCATCTTACATTATTGCTCAAAAAATTTGAACGTCTTACATGAAGAAACCTTACCTACGGTAAACACGTGGTTGCAGAGAAATGCGCTCTGAACAGGTTCCGTGGTTCGGAGAGATGGTGTTCTGTTGTTCTTAAAGGTTCTGAACAAAACTGATAAATAGGGAAGCTAGATAATGGGGCAGATATTGAAAATAATGAAAGATCCAGGAAGAAAAGCGAAAAGAATTTTATTCTAAATGGCGCAATGACAATTTTTTTTTCAAAATGCGAGAAATTCGCAAATTTCTCATAGTAATCATTTTTTAATACGAGAAAAGAAAAAAAATATGCGAGATTCTCGGGCTGTAGTGAAAACACTGATACAGGGTATCCGCTGCATTTTAGATTTAACAATCCATGACTAATTCCAAGAATTTTTCATGGCTAAACAAAGTTACGATTTTCTTCGACAAAAACACAACAATAAATTTAAAGAAGCATTATAATAACATTAATTGAAATGATAAGTATAACCAAAACTGTTATACTCTGAACAGGGTTCCCACTCAATTTCAGAAAAAAAATTCCCGGACTTTTCCAGGCATACCAGGTAAATTTCAATGAAAATCGAGACCATATTTCATCAAACTTTGATTTTTTTCTTTGTAATGTGAAATGTAATTTACTGAAGAAGGGAACATTACAACAAATAATTGTAATAGATGTTAGAATTATTGACCTTGAATCTAAATAACTGATTACTGTTACTGACAACTTTAAGACTGGTTATTTTCCAGATATGATAAAGGAATTTTCCAGGTTTTTGGTAAAATAATCGCAACTTTCCCTGACTATTCCCTGCTTTTTGGAGTTAAAATAAAATTCTCTGACAATTCCAGGTTTTTCCTGACCCATGGGAACCCAGCCTGCATCTTTATATTTATAGATTTTAAATTCAAAAAACAAGGTAAAGAAAGAGTTGGAGCAATAAAATAGCTGAAAAAAATACAAAAGCATACTTTTCTTGTTCATGGGAAAGGAAAGAAATATTCCTGATTTTTCTGTTCTTATTTCGGAATTTAAAAAAATTAGCCTTGCTTCAGCTGGAAATTTTAAATTAATATAATGAAAAAATAAAAAAATTCTGAAATCAGAGAAGTTTAAACTATACACTCTAGAAATGATTTTTTTCTTTAATTTTTTGAAAGAGCACCATAATTTTTAAAGAACATGCTATAAACATTTTATATTATAATAAAATATGATCGTGAGTGGGGATTTTGTTACAAATTCAGATATTCGGAGCACCATTAAATTAGGGGCGTGGCAAATTCCATTTTAAAAATTAAATTTCTCGGCGACATAAATCCATGACTTTTTTCTTCAAAAAATGCATAATGGGTAACCATAAAAGAAATCTGCATGGAAAGCATGAATAGAGCAAAACATTATCCAGTGTTACACTATCGTGCTATATACATTTTCAATTAAAAAAAGCTAAATTTATGTATAAGTTTAATTACTACTGAGTTTAATTGCTACTGATAAAATCTCTCAATTTTGTCTGAGTTTTTCATTTGAAATGCAAACCCAAAGGAAATTGGGATTTTACTGCTTTTTCTAAACATTAAATGGCTTCGAAAATCAATTCAAGGTCATTTCCCCCATAAAATGCGTTAAAAAGTTTGAAATATTTTGGAAAATAGGGAAAGTGGGTTTCAAAGAACAGTTTGTTAAATAGAAAATTCACTTCAATATTTGGAAGTTATTTTCTGAAGAAATTTCCAAAATGTTCTTGGTTCCTCGAAAAAAATAGCAAAATAGAGAAATTCGCAGAATGGATGTTCATTAAATAGAAGTCCGACTGTATTTTCATATAAATTAAAAATATGTTTATCAAAAATGAGGTTGAAAAGTAAGTTTACTTGTAAGCTTGATATAAACTCCAAATTGCAACTGCACAGTAAATACTGTCTCGAACTGCAGCAACTTCGGTTTCGCTGCTCATTTGAGGAAATAACCCTGATGTGCAACTCTGGTATCTGAGCAACTGACGTTTAACTACAAAACATCATTTAATACATTTATATTACAGAAAAACATTCAAGGCAAAAATACATACATAGCCCCTGCGGCAGACTCTAGCACTAATATCTTTTCACAAGATACTTTTAATAATATATACATCTTACTAATTAAGAATAGCAAAAACGCTGTGTTTAAAATAAAAAAAATTTCTACATAATTTTTTTTTTAATTGAACATATAATAATATTTTATTGTAATATTATGGGTGATATTCTCACATTTTATGGGGGTGAAAATGTACTTACTATTTCATTCCTCGAATTTTATAAATAATCATCATAATAAAAAGAAAATAAATAAAAATCATGAAATTCGCAGCAGTAATTGCCGAAAAAAAAGATCGAAATCATGCGAATCAGACTCCTAAAAAAGGGTTTCTCAAAAACGTGTTTTATTTAGAGATTAAGTTGTTGTAATAAATAATATCGTATAAAAAATATCGGATTTAAAAATTATGGAGAAATCAATAGCAATAACTGCCAAAAACCTGACAGAACCATTGCCTTTAAAAAGAAAACACCCAAATGCACGATTTGAATTTTCCATTGTTTTAAATATATCGATATATTTAAAACCTAAGTGAAAATAAATATCAATAACTGCTGAAAATACAATCGAAACGCTACGTCGATTTACGATATTATTGCCGTAAATCGAAACCGTCAAAAATCCATTAATTAAACGCATGATTCAAATTTTAGGTGTAAATTTCTGCATAAAAGAAATCTAAAAAGTTTTCTCTTTTCACAGGAGAAATCTTTCTGCAGGCACTTTGTAACGTTCTGCAACAATGTCACTGCGATTCTGCCACGGGGTACATAGCCATAGAATAAAATATTTTGAATATTATAGGATATTAAAAGTGAAAGGTAGATAAAACCTTGTCCATAGTATGCATCAAGTTGTTTGACAGTATCAGCGTAATTTGCAATTTTCACTTGTTCCACATCAATTTCAGAAAGGCTTGCCAATCGACTTCTGTACTGAATGATAGCAGGGTTGTGGTTACCTGGCTTGTACACCCGATTTGGCCCTTCCAACAAACTCTAAAAACACCAAAGTATATATTCTATGAAGCATTTAATAGTAAAATATGCTAATATTATAGAAATTAAACAAGACACACACACACACAAAAAAAAATAACTATTTAAGAAAAAGGTATTTTGTTATAATTAGGTAACTTTTGGTTATTGCTAAAAGTGACTTATTACTAATAAGAGGGAACTGAAAAACTAGTTGTAATGGTTAAGCTTTACAAAAAAAAAAAAAAAAAAAAAAAAAGCTTTAAAGTAGGGGTGCACAACCTGCGGCCCATTTACTGTTACTGTAGGGCCCGTTAGGAGCTTCTAAACGAAATAAAGTTTATTTTAATTTGGGTTTTGTTTAAATATTTTAAATTTTCTATAATTAAAATATTTAATTCAAATTTATATCACTCTGTAAAATGCATACATCTTTTGTACTTTCAGTCAGTAAACATCTTTTTGGTTAGAGTTCATATTCCCCCCAATATGTATATATATCAGGGTCTATCTAGTTCCTTCTGAGAGGTACCTGTTTCGTGAAAATTTAGACATAATTTGCCAAAATTAAAAATTATATTAAAAAATCAACACAAAATTATGGTAAAAATATGGATTTATCGTTTCTTACGGGATAAAAAAATATATTAAAAAATATATATTAAAAAAATATATATGGATAAAAAAATAAAATTTTAAGATGAAGTATTTTGCGGAGCTACCGTTTTTCCTAAAGTTACCGCTAAATGGTAGTAAATTTGGCCTGGACAGACACTTGTATGCATATATATATATATATATATATATATGATAAATTAATTATCGTGAAAAATGGAAAAAAGTTTTTTTTTTAAAAAAGTATCAGTTTTTTTAGTTTTAAATAAATTCAAATAATTCAAAGTATTTAATTTTCTGCAAATATGTACAGTGAAACCCCGATTTTACGTTTCTCAGGGGACTGGGTAAGAAGAACGTAAAATCCGGGAAAACGTAAAATACGGGAAATACTTAGATAGCAAAAAATCATATAATGATAATGGAAAAATAAAACAAACGAAAGGTAGTAAAGATGACTCTTTCAAAAAGTACTATTAAAATCTATATTTTACGAAAAGAATATTAGTATTTAAGGAAAAAAACATACCAGTTCAAGATCACTTTTACAATTTTTGTTAAGAATCATGTAATTTAGGTGCAAAATAGTGCGTAATAGTAGATTGTTTTTTAGACATTGAGTTCAAAGTAAATGCCTCATCTTCCAGGACTGAAATCTTTTGCAATTTTTTTTCCTGGTCTTTGTATGATAGAAAATAGTCTTTCACTATTAGCAAACTTCTCAATGCTGTGTTGAAAGAAGGAACGGGCTGTGCTTCTGTTTCTTCTTGTTCATCTTCATCGGCGGATGAAAAGTCCATAACATCGTCCACGGATGGAGCAGTGGTTCTCTCAGCTTCGCATGTTGCTAAGTTTTCTCGGATGTACTCGTCGAAGTCATAGCTAACTGTTTCATTGTCATTCTCCGAGTCTAGTCTATCTAATCCTGCATCTGTTAACGGTTCATTAGAAGCTACGATTCCGCTTTCTTCAAAACAGTGGGAAATGCACTTTTGTGTAACGCTTCTCCAAGCAGCAGAAATAAAATGCATAGCCTCCAGAACACTTAACTTTAGTTTGCAGGCGTCATTTAGGTTTCCGTTCTCTAGTTCAGCTACAGCTTTCCGGACAAGTTGCTTTCTGTAAAAAACCTTAAATATTGCTTATTAAAACGTTTTTTTATTTTTTTTCTTTCTACAAAAAACGTAAAATGCGGGAAATTCCGTAAATTAAAAACTTACAATCCGGGTAAAATTAACATTGGAGGTATACGGAAAAACTGGGTCCTGATGAAAAAAACGTAAAATGCGGGAAAAACGTAAATTCGGGGGACGTAAAATCGAGGTTTCACTGTATTAAGTTTACTGATAAAAATACTTAGTGCTTAGAACAATAATATTCATATAAAGATTATTATATATGCAGCTAACATGACTAAATATGCAGGCGACTCTTCATTAATCTACTTGTCATGCAAGTGGCCCTTCGTTAAAAAAGTTTCGGCACCCCTACTTTAAAGCAAAGCTTAAATTCCAACTAAAAAGTTTAAGAGCATCTTAGTGCCAAACATGCAAAATAGTTATACATTTTACAGTTCAGGTATAATCTGTGCTTTAAATAATTCTGCTTTACATACTTTCAACATTATTAATATCTAACATGGAAAACTTCATTAATAAAAGAACAGGAACTGAGCTACGGAACAAATTAGACCCTGCATCTAATTTTTTAGCAAGTAAACAAAAAGGCAATTCAAATAATATGTAAGTAAATGATAAGACAGAAGGGGTTTGTAAATTCACTTATTTTTGTAAAATTCTTTTAAATTCAATTTTTTTTAACCCCTTGACGGCAACTACAATTGCCAAAGCACCTAATTAATTTTAAAAGGGAAAGTTAAAAAAAAAAAAAAAAAACATGTAGAAAGTTTGCCTGAAGTTGGCTACAAGTTATACCCTTCCAGTTGGTCTCTTTCTGTTACATATATTTTTTTAAGTTTCTCGCTGGCTGCCCAGAAGATGTCAAAATTTTGTGATTATTCCGCCACAAATCCGGATATGGAAATCTCCCCACAAGTCAAAGATTTGAAAATGAAATAAAATAAAAGCAAAATATTTCAGAAATAAATAATTATGGATAAAAATATTATAAGAAAAAAATTATGCATAAAAACATTCAAAAATAAATAATTTTTCTGCTATTCAGAATTTCAATATTTCATAAATTATGAGATTAAAAATTTTTTTTTAAGTTTATTAAATTATGAACTTAATCAAAGATTTGGAAATGAAGTAAAATAAAAGCGAAATATTTTATATATAAATAATTAAGCATAAAAATATTATGAGAAAACAATTATGCATAAAACATTTAAAAGTAAATTATTTTTTTTGCAACGGTATATTCCAAAATTTCGATATTTCATAAATTATGAGATAAATTTATGAATTGCTTAGAAAAATTTCGTTTCTGAAGTATCAATTTTGTAAAGTGCGGCATTGGGCTCACATGCTACTAATTTAGTTTAACATTGTAAAACCCACTTTACATTTTTGACATATTTTGAATAAAATTACTCTTTTGTTTGAAAAATTAACAATAATACTAAATATTTTGATGTATTTTAGTTGGTTTAAAAATATTAGTACAAAAACATAACCCAAATCTATTATTTTTTGGCACTGAACTTAGAATCAAGTAAATAAAAAAATAACTAAAAATTAGAAAGTGAATCCAAATGAAAATTATTATAGCAATTTTCATTTTAAGCTTTAAAAATTTACAGGAAATCATCATACTACACGTCTTTCAACTTTGCTTATTCGTCTTATAGTTTCCATTTAAATGCTTTTTTTCACGAACGAAAGATGTTCAATTAGAAACGTTTTTAGGACAACGAATTTCAAAAGGTGTTTAAATCTGAGATAAACTATTTACAAACAAGATAAGAGATATCAAGAATCCTCTTTTTGGACTTTCAAGGCCGTACTTATTTAAAAATTTAAATAACTTGATAAACTAGAAGATGCCACTGTTAAAATAGAAACAATAACGAAGTAAATAATTAATTTTAATATACCTCGTTCTCCTTCATCTTGGATTTAATATATTATAAAATGTCACTTTCTCCTCTTAAATTCTAGGGTCACCGCTGGAAACGGCATTTGAGTATACTATTTGTTTTGATTTTTGATCTAAAAATAGAACAAGAGCAGAGAGAAATACAGTTACAGGCAAACCGAATAGCCGTAACATAAATAAAATATTTCTTTATTTAATATTATTTATTTTTTGTAACTGTATTTTTAACAGAAGTATTAAAATTAGTACCAAATTTCTTTTCAATAATAACCAAAAAATTTAAAACTTGTTCAGATATTTTTGGTTGCTGTTGTTGTAGTTCATTTACGTCGCACTAGAGCTGCACAATGGGCTATTGGCGACGGTCTGGGAAACATCCCTGAGGATGGTCCGAAGACATGCCATCACAATTTTGATCCTCTTCAGAAGGGATGGCACCCCTGCTTCGGTAGCCCAATGACCTGCATGCGAAGTCGAGCACTTTACGGTAGAACAGTTTAACGAGGACCCATAACGCACACCCTCGGTCCCTACGCAGACTGATCCAAGTGGTCATCCACCCGCACACTGACCGTAGCCAGTCAGATATTTTTGGTGAATCACGACCGTAGCGCTCGATACCTCTTCTGTGGAAAAGATGGTTCCAAGGATTGATCCTCTTCCCTTCCCTTTTCGCTTATTTTCATGTATAGGAATTTGCTAGAATATTTTCCCTTTCCTTAATACTTTCCGCATTTAACTGCCGTATATATTTTTTAAAATTTATTCGACGAACTATGTTCAATGTAGTTTTCAGTTCCATATAGTTTCCTAACTTAAAAGTTTTTAATCTATTTGAAAATCAGGACAGAAACTAATGAACTTCCTTCTCCTAGGAAGGTACTTTATTAACTTCGCACTAGAGCTGCACAATGGGCTATTGCGACGGTCTGGGAAACATCCCTGAAGATGATCCGAAGACATGACATCGCAATTTTGATCCTCTGCAGATGGGATAGCTCCCCAGCCTTGGTAGCCCGATTACCTGCGTGTGAAGTTGAGTATTTTACGGTAGAACAGTTTAACGAGTGCCGATACCACACGCTTTCGGTCCCAGCACAGACTGATCAAAGGGAGCTAACGTACTTCCTTTTTCCATGACACGCTAATAAAAGCATGTAAAGTGTATAGGTATGCCTATAGGTAGAGAGTTCTGCTCATTTCGATAATCAAATATATATAGTTTCTTCAAGTCCAGGGTACGATCCCCGGTCATGGTCAATATTTCATATTTACATTTAATATTAATAATTTATTTTTATTTATTTTAAAATGCTGTAACGGAAATAAAAAACTCCCTTACCTAAAATTATTTTTTCTTTCCTTTTCTAAGTGCGTAATATAATAAAACAGTTAAAATGAAGAAATTGTTGTTTATATACCGCATACATAAATGACCTCGACACTCTGCTTACTATTAACCTATAGCATTCCAACTCGGTCAGGTATTAGATTATAAAGATAATATACTACCATACCAATGGAAATATTTATAGACTATGTATGGTTCACACAATGTGGCACAGTTATAAATTAGAGAGGTTCCCAATATAGTTCCATTAAAATATCTTCCACTGCGGTTAATCGGGTTCGATTCCCAGCAATGGCTGGTCGATATGAATCCGCATCCGGCCTGCACCAACCACAGTGCTGACGTGAATTGTCCTCAATGGTAGACGGTTCATGGGTAAGAGCCCCTTTGCCGTCAGGCGGACCGTCGGAGGATCTCGTGGTCTTCCTCTCCATCTAACGCAGATGCAGAAGATGCAGAAGTCCTCCACGAAGGCAAATTTCTCCCAATACTTGACCCAGGAGTTCCCTTGTCTTCCGGATTGGGTTCAAAATTACTTCAAGACTACGGAGTTGAACATTAGAAATCGTATGCCCAAAAATTGGCTCTAGGCTGTTCAGCGATGGTTGTAATACATACTTTATGTATATATGGTCCCATATCTCCCTATAATATTCAAACTTGGTCAGATATTACACCATACTATACTACCCAAACAAAGGAAATAATTAAAAACAAATTAGGTGTCTTACAATCACATACCCACACACACACACACATGTATATATATATTACACATATATTACGGTAAAAAGAAACCATTTAATTTGGTAAATGTGATAAATANTATATATATATATATACGTCCTAATGACTTCAAACACAAAATAACTATATCAAGCCAATATCTTTTGCCAACATTCAATACATAATTATGAATACTGAAACATCTTGATACTATGCAGAGTGTTTCGTCATCTTCGTCCCATGTATAATTTTAGCATCATATTCAAAAATGAGCTAAAAAAGTACACAAAGTCGGGGTCACAAACTATTATTTCAGAGCAGGAAAAAACTATATGGAAATCTTATGAATTACTATGGAGTTAAACGGAATTGAAAACGCTAAAACAAGTTTGATTTCATTTTATTTTTTAACCCTCGTTGCCCAGTCGACTTAATTTCTTGGTTACGACTAAAATGCAAAGGGACTCTTGTATCAAGTATTGGGGAGAAATTTGCCTGCCTTCGCGGAGGACTTTTGCTGGAACTTACACGCATTTACGTTATTTGGAGAGGAAAAGCAAGAAAAACTCGAAAGGTTAGACTGACGTCAAGAGAACTCTAACTTGTCCGTCTACCACTGAGGATATTTTGCGTCAGCACTGTGGTCGGTACGAGATGGGTATGGAATTTATTTCCACCAGCCCTCACTGGGATTCGAATCCGGTTCACATCATGGAAAGGCAAACGCTCTATCCTCTGAGCAATCACAGCCCAAAGCAGTTTGACTTTATAACCGTCGTTGAACAGCCCACCAAATTTTTGGGATTAAGATTCCTAATGTTCTATTCAGAAATTCGAATTTTGTAATTTGTAATTTTAAACCCAAATTCAGAAAAAAAGAGAACTCCTGAAACAAGTATTGGGAAAAATGTTGCCTTCGTGGAGGAGTTTTTGATGAACTAACCCGCATTTGCGTTACATGGAGAGGAAAACCTCCATCGGTTAGCTTGACGGCAAGGGAACTCTAACCTATTATCCGTTTACCACTAAAGTTATTTTACGTCAGTACAGAGGTCGGCGCAAGCCGGATGTGGAATTCGTTTTGATCAACCATCGTTGAGAATCGAACCCAGGACACCACATTAGGAGGCAAATGCTCTAGCCCATGAGCCACCACTATATATAAATACATTGCAACCTATTGGGCCACATAGTGTACCCCTTATAAGTCTATAACTATTTCCATTGGTAGGGAACAAAAATACCCGGTAATATAATGCGTGGTGCAATTAGAATATTATCGGTCAATATTAAGAGTAGATCTAACCTACCAGATAAAAGAATTACAGGCTTGAAAGGGAGCCCTCAATGCGACCCTATAGGTTATTATGATGTATAGATATAAGAATTAGTTAAATAGCGTTAAAACGAAGAAATTCGAATTCAAAATTCTTTATTACTACCTGGTCCTATACCACCTCTTTATATTGACCCATAATATTCAAATTGGACTTGGTAAAATAATGCCGGGAAATAGTGAAACCTACCATGTGAGAGAATTATAAGCATAATGGGGGGCCCACAATGCGATCCTATAGGTTACTATGCATGAATATGTATAAGAGTTGGTTAAATAGCATTAAAATGAAGAAATTCGAAGTCAATATTCGATATAAATACATGGCCCGATATCGTACCTTAATATTCACCCATAATATTTATATTGGACCATGTATGTTTTGTCAGGATACTACTGTACCCTACCAGAGGAAATAATTATAGACTAATTAGGGGGCACACAATATTGCAATCAAGTTTAATATGTATGTATATCTGAAATAGAGTTGCGTAAAGCTTTAAAATGAGGAAATTCGCCTTCTAAAACCCTTTAAAATTAGGAAGCGCGAAGTCATTTTTCAATATTAACGTAAAGTCCGATATCGGACCTTGATATTGACCCATTATATTTTAATTGGACCACGCATTATTTGTCAGGATACTACTGTACCCTACCAGAGGAAATAATTATAGGCTAATTAGGGGGCACACAATATGGCAAACAAGTTTAATATGTATGTATATCTATCTGAAACAGAGTTGCGTAAAGCTTTAAAATGAGGAAATTCGCCTTCTAAAACCCTTTAAAAGTAGGAAGCGCGAAGTCATTTTTCAATATTAACGTAAAGAACGATATCGGACCTTGATATTGACCCATTATATTTTAATTGGACCACGCATTATATTACAGGGTAACAGTGTACCCTACCACAGGAAATAATTATAGACCCTTTAGGGGGTACACTATGTATATTCAAAATAGTGCATTAAAACAAGTAAATTCGACACTTTTCAATGTTAACAAACGGCCCGATATCGGCCCTTAATATTTTAATTGGAATTAATTTAGAACACCTATAATATTTTAATTGGGCCACGTATTTAAATACCTAAAAATAGTGTACCCTACCAAAGGAAATAATTATAGATCCTCGAGGGGGTACACAACGTGACCCCAAAGTTTACTATGTATGCGTATCTAAAATAAGTGTTCGGAAGAGCTTAAATTGAAGAATTTCGCCTTCAAAAACCTTTTAAAATTAGGATGCCCGAAGTCATTTTTCAATGTTAACGTAAAGTCCGATATCGGACCTTAATATTGACCCATAATATTTTAATTGGACTGCGTATTATATTACCGGGAAATAGTGTATCCTACCAGAAAAAATAATTATAGTTCAATTAGGGGGTACACAATGAGGCCCTATATTTTACTATGTATGCGTATCTAAAATAAGTGTTCGGAAGAGCTTAAATTGAAGAATTTTGCCTTCGAAAGAGCTTCAAAAATTCAAAGACATTTTTCAATGTTAACTAACACAAGGCGCGATATCAGACCTTAATATTGACCAATAATATTTTAATTGGTCCTCATATTATATTACCGGGTAACAGTGTATCCTTCCAGAGGAAATATTTATACGTCAATTAGGGGTTACACAATGAGGCCCTGTATTTCAGTATGTATGCGTATCTAAAATAAGTGTTTGGAAGAGCTTAAAATGAGGAAATTCGCCTTCTAAAACCCCTTA